CCTAAAAATCCCTAAACCCTAAAAATCCCTAAACCCTAAAAATCCCTAAACCCTAAAAATCCCTAAACCCTAAAAATCCCTAAACCCTAAAAATCCCTAAACCCTAAAAATCCCTAAACCCGAAAAATCCCTAAACCCTAAAAATCCCTAAACCCTAAAAATCCCTAAACCCTAAAAATCCCTAAACCCTAAAAATCCCTAAACCCTAAAAATCCCTAAACCCTAAAAATCCCTAAACCCTAAAACGTTTAGGCATTAGGGTTTTGAGGGTTGTTTGCGTTTAGGGATTAGGGTTTTGAGGGTTGTTACCGTTTAGGGATTAGGGTTTCGAGGGTTGTTACGATTTAGGGATTAGGGCTTTGGGTTTAGGGGATTTAGGGTTGCTGCGCTGCCCCTTCGGGGGCCCACGGCGCTGCTCATGCTTTTGTCTTGCACGCAGCGCTTACTTTTTGATGAAGCATACATGTGCATGAATTGGCTTCACGCACACGCGCCGCAAACAATGATCTCATCCAAGGGACATGTCAAGGAGTTTCTCCCTGGAAGATCCGCAACCATTCATTTCGTTTCAGTCTGGATCCTTGAAACAACGTGCGTCTCTATTGGATTCTCACGAAGCCATTGAGGTGTAGAGCTGCGCGTTGCCAGAAGACCGAAAGGAAACAGCACGCCGAAACTCCATACCCAACCCCCGAACGAAACCCCTGTCTTGCGTGCTGGATGGGTCGAAAACTTCCGCAACGAACTTCCAACACCGCTTGCCCAAGTAGTTCGGGAAAACGCTCGGAGGTGTAGAGCTCAAAGGCATGTGGGCGGCTGAAGGGTTTGTTTCACTTTCACGATTCTAGTTTGTTTCACTTTCGAATTTCTATATAGATTTAAGAATCCCTTCGTTTTTGCTTGTTTTCTCTTCTTTTCTGGCGTCTTCCCTTCATCGGGGGCGGCGGTGGGTGCGTGGCTCGTCTCACTTGGATTTCGCCTACGTTTTCGTTTGCTTTGGTTCTGCGGTTCTCCTTGTTTCACTTGAGAAGGTTTTTACCCTGGCGCTTGAAGCGACAAGATTTCCTTCTCTTCTCACTCGGACTCTTATTCGACCTGAAGGAAATGGCCCTGAACTTGGTCCAGGGAAGTATTCAGGACAATCATTGGGGTTGATCTCTTGGTTTCCTTTCCCTCTTTGGTTGCCCCCCGTAGGTTATGAGCCCAAATTAGGCTCCCTGTGGGTGAGTTAAAGATTTTACCTTTGTTTGGTGCAATGGACACGCTGCGTCGTCGTTCTGAACCTGGACTGTCATCAGAGACCAATGATGCCGAAGGAGATGCTATTGATAGGGGTGAGGAGGGACAACAGGTGCCCGCTGCACAAGGAGGACAACAGGTACCTCCTACACAAGCTCTGATGGAAGGAAGAGACGTTGCAAGGGCGCAGCTGGAATTTCAGGGCAAATCCTTTCGAGCGAGCGAGCACAGGAGGAGGTGAGATTAAGGCAATCAAGGCCATCAAGCCTTCCTGCGTCTGGAGAGGATAGGAGTGGTGAAGTCACAAGAAGACCACCCTCGCTGCCGGATCTTCGAGAACCTGCACCAGCTGAAAGACCATCATCGGGTTTGATGGGCAAAATGGAAAGAGGTGTTATGAGAGAGACACCTGCTGAAGAAGAATTGGTACCTGACACGGAAGCGGTGGAGTGAGAGGACACTGCAATTGTCAAGCATGCGCTGAAAGAACTCCTCATGCAGACAAAGGAGCTGGGAAGCAGGCTGCATAAAGTGGAGGAAAGGAGTTATACTTCTGCTGCATCTGGTTCGGCATCACATGCGAGGAGTGCTGGAGTTGTGGATGCAAACTTGACATCACCGCCAAATGTCAAGCCAGAGCGACAGTATCCGCCTGGACAGGCTTTTTATACTGATGGGATAGGAGGTTTTTGGACAGTGACGCTGAGTGGAGAATGTGGAGGGGTATGACCTTCCTAAGGACTGCCACTTACAACCATTTCCAGAAAGATGGTCCTTTTGTGCGTTTGGAGCTATGTTAAGGCACACTTTCCGTCCAGGTGAGGCCGAAATCCATGCCGTTGCCAGTCGCCGTGGCCGCCTCTTCGGGCCTCGGAGTGCTGGCCTTGGTCTGCCAAACATCTTTTTGTTGCTGCCCGCCTGGCTGTCCACCAAGACTCATCAAGACATCTCTTTGCCCTTTGGGTTTCGGGTTTACAGAATTGTCATCTCCAAAGGCACGGTGACCAGCAAGATTGCTGGTGATAGCGATAGCAGTAGGTTGCGATAAGCCGTAGTGATTTGCAGCCCACTGCTCGCCGTCATCCCCAACATAAGTTCAGTCTAGGGGGTTTCAATTGAGCCCCTCAACCCCGTTAAGCCTGGCAAACTCAGATGCGCCGAATATGCTGGGACTCCGGCTCGCCCAGCAGGACCTGAGGTTGTGTATGTCGTGTGGGTCTATTGCTTTTCAGGGATACGGGTGAGACCGAGACGAGGCTCCCCAAACCAGTGTTTTTGTTGTAGGTTGTCAGATCTTTGCGAGGGTAGCGTGGGAGCTGTGGGAAGCAATCCCTTGACTCCTGCAGAAAACCTGCAAAGCAGCACCGAAGCTGGTTGGACTGGGTGGTTTAAACTTCCTCGGTCACATCAGGAGTTGTATCTTGCTATGTTTCCCAAGGTGGAAGGAATGTTTCCCATTGTCTGGAAGGATACTTGGCCAAGTGAGCCCACTAAGCTACCTTTATGGTAGGAGTAAAGAACATGATGAAGCGCTGCGTCCAGCATCCTTTTTCCCCAGCAGCCAACAACGTATAGATGCGAAAATCTGTGAAAATCCTGGGCTGCCTCCCACTGAAAATCGAGCGACCAGCTAGTGCTTGAGAGAGTAGACCCCGCAGGTTGGGTTGACCCTGTCAAAGTCGCCGTTGACAGCATAGCCGGTGTTGTCTCCTTGGCTAACACGGGCTACACGGCTGAGAACATGCTTTGATGTGGCAAAACCAGCCGTGCATTGATTACAGCCTTGGCCTGTGTGCTTTGACACGTAGCGCACAAGGGCCACAGCAAAAATCATTTTACTTCGAACCTCCCCACCCTCTCTTGGTAGAGATACTCTGGGGTTGTGCACTCCAGGGACACTCTGGGGCTGGGCACTCTGGGGACACTCTAGGGATGGGCACTCCAGGGAAACACCAGAGTCTCTGGGGTTGGGCACTCCAGGGAGACTGGCTGGGCACTCTGGGGACGCGGGGTTGGGCACTCCAGGGAAACACTCGGAAGTGGGCACTCTTGGGAGACTCCGGGGTTGGGCACTCTAGGGAGACTTTGGGGGTTGGGCACTCCAGGGAGACTCTGGGGCTGGGCACTCCGGTGAAATTCTGGGGTTGGGCAGAGTAGACCGGGCGAGGAGAAGAGTTCCGGGCGAGGAGAAGAGTTCCGGGGGAGGAGAAGAGTTGAGTTTAAAATCTAACAACCCCACACCGAGGGTGGGGAAAAACAGCTTAAACTCAAATGTCAAGGAGATGCACCCGGCTTTCGAGACAACAAAGGCTAAAGGCTTGTGATTTTTGGCACCCAGGGTCTGTCTTCCGCACAGACTGCCACCTTCCCCGGCGACAGAGTGATGGCTTCCACTGTGTGGGACCTACGCTTGGCAACAGGTCAAGCACAACTTCAGCCAGGGCAAGCGACTCTGAGAAAGACAGCAGAATCTGAATATCGTTTTCTTCCTAGACAAGGCTATGAACTTGTGCGATTATCAAGCCTGCCTAATCTATCCAACCCGTTGAAGACTACGCACGGCCCCGAAAGATTGCCGGAAAGGTCCTGGGGTAGTCTTCCTTGTCTGAGCCGTTGGGATGGGACTTCTCCCCGTGGGTGCACTTCTTGTCCTCGAGGAGGTCTATTGCCAGGACACAGTGTTAAATCTGCGAAAGTAGCTGCAAGTAGAAGGGGACCCCTATGGTGGTTGGGGCCTTGCTGCAAAAGGTTCATATAAGGGTTCGTGCAAAGGGAGTTGGGGGGCCACCGAGCTACCTTGAGCCCTTCGAAAGCTCTCCTTACAGGTGATCGTCACGCAGTAGGGGTTTCCCATCTCGATGGTTCGGCTGATGCTCCAGCAGTACTGCACCCGATCACTCCACAAGCGTGCAAGACTGGCCCAATGCCAATTGTGAGCTCCAGTTCGTGGCACGTCCAACTCGCTCAGCTCCTTGCGCGTCATCTATCCCATGTACAACAGCTAGGTCAGGTTTAGGCTTTATAGTTTATAGGGAATTTCTCGAGTCAAGCGGAAGAACTATTCGACCTGAAGCCGTTCGCAAACTTGCAGTCTTTGCAAGGCTCCTTTGGTGCTGAACCAGAAACATCCAGCAGGACACACTTCCTCAAACACGGCTTTTCAATGTTCAGCACAGGAGGCTAGAAGCGCTGGCATTTGAGCACAGGGTTTTGCAGGACAAGAAAAAATCACTGAACTCCAGAACCCGCTAGCTAGACACAAGCGGGCTGCAAGTTTCTCGGGGAGCACCACATGGCCTCACCTGAGGTCATGCCGGTCACGTAGCCTGTATCATCCGTTTTGAGCTTGATGGCAGTAGCATCTCCTTTGGTGATGGAGGTGCCGGTAACCGTGAGGAAGCTGCACATGGTCTGCTTGTCGTTGCCTGCCACGGCAGAGGATTGTTCTAAACTCAGAGCAGAGCAGAGCAAATTTCGACTCAGTGGCCTCTGCGGTGGCACTCCAAGACCTTCCCGGGAGCGACCATGCTCATCTTGGCATTCGTATAGGCATAGGTCATGCCAGAGTCCAGCTCAGTGAGTGGGCCCAGCTCCAGCGAGCCACTGTTCTCGGTCAACACCCCACACATCCTCGGTCCAACTGGGTCCGACGTCTGACTCCATCCGACTGGCGTGCGACCGGCTCCGATTGGCGTCCGCAAGCTTTCTGTGGAAGCTTCTTCTGCGCCTGTCGTGAGACTTATAATGCAGATAATGCAGACGAGTTGCAGGGCGTGGTTTTTGGCCCACTCGATCCGATTGTTCATGCAAAGCAACAGCTTGCCCTCCTCAAGCTTCACCAACGTGGGAACGAACCTGAAATCAGGTCAGAAAAACGACCCTCGGCCTTGCAAGTTCCTTGTGGCCGGATGAAAACCATGCCAAACGCACATGAAAGCACTCAATTTCCGCAGCTCGGCCCTAGGAACGGACTCGAGAGAGAGGCCGGAGCAACCAGGTCCTCTCCGACCTTCAGGACGCGCTGCTCCGCGGTGATCAGCCGACATCTCGTTTGGCTCCCAGACCTGGCAGAAAGCAGATCTCTTCAGCTTTCGTCGAGACAGAGTCATGGAGTCAACAAAAGCATTTGGGGGCTTCGATTTCATCAGCAGCGCACGCCAAGAGACCTGTAGCAAAAGACAGCCTTGTTCTGGGCAAACTCAGACATAAAAGGATCTGCAACACCATACTGGGTAAGTTGAATCCGATCTCCGACGAGGAGACCGCCAACCACATCCTCCACTGCATGGCAATGCCACTTCTCATGTCTATCTAAGGCACCACAGGCCACGAACTTCGTATCAGTGAGGCGGCCCATGCCCGAGGGCTGACCCACCGAGTACAAGGAGGTGTCCGGGATTTCGATGTGAGTCAACGTGGCTTTCTCGTCCACGCTAACAGGAGCAAGCTTGTCCCAGGCTTTCAGAGGGTCAGTGTCCACCTGGCACAAGTGTGAGTGAGTGCATCTAGATCCAGAACCCGTCAGGTCAACATCGCATTGCCAGTGGTAGCCAGCCGAATCGATGTCATAGCTGTCCTTGCATTTGGCTACGGCTTCTGTTGAGCGCTCGCCGCTTAGCGAGGCGCAGTTGCCACTGCCAAACACCTTCGAGACGATCTTGCCCTGGCATTCGGGGAAGCTGTCGGCGGTCTGGTTTACCAGGACCTCTCCTTGGCTTCGCCGTGACGTAGTAGTGACAGTTCACAAAGCCAGTGTACTGCTGCGGCAAAGATGGCAAAGAGAACAGTCACGCTCTGCATTTGTGGGAGCTGTATGCTGTGCCACCTACCTCTGAAGTTGACGGCACCCCCATCCCCATGAAACTAAGTATGTATGCACCTCGCGGAAGCGAAACGTTTGTTGATTCTTGGAAACGCGGGGTTTTTTCGCAGCACGGATTTCTTGCAAGACTTTCTTTTTTCGCGCGTCACTGCCGCGCGTAGCTCACTGCTTCCAGATGCTTCGCAAAAGGGGCATGCAGAAGATGGAAACAGTGCCCGCACGCCCCACCCCAACCCAGAAAGAAAAACAAACTCGCAACTGAAAAGCACCAAAAGTGTCAGAGGTGTGTGGTTTCTGTCAGATGCTGACACAAGTTGCTGCAAACTACGACAAGATCAGAAGCAGTGACCACACGAAACGACCAAGAAAGCTCTAAATACCCAACCCCCCCCTCCCCCCACTACTTTGGACAACTCTCTCACGGCGGCGTGGGGCAAAATTAGCACTATTACCTAATTTATTATCAAAGCTATATATTTTATCACTAAGATTATTGCCATTAATATTACCACCATTAATCTTTATCATCATCAATATTACCAGTATACTTTATTCTCACATCATCAATACTACTTTCATGTGCTTTATATAATTTTGCAATAATTTCAGTATCATCCCGTGTACCAGAAAAGGCCAACCCTGAGCCCCCTCTTTGAAGCCAGTCTCCGCCCAGCTTGAGTGCCGTCCCTGACCACATGGCCTTTGTTGCACAGATAAGAATTCAAGCTTGCACTGTACAGATAGATGAGGATGTAGGAACAGCCTGGCCTGAATGAGGAAGGGTGTCCAGGGAGATACCATGGACTGCTTCATTTCAGGAGCCTCGACGCAGCCCCAAGCCAAGCTATGCCAAGCTAAGGAGGCCTTGATGCAAACGGCTTCGGACTTGCAGGAGCATGCAGGAGTGCCGTTCATTTGATAGTGCTCAGAGAAGTGAGGAGAGTGCTGAGGTAGATATGGTAGATCTAAATGCGGCAGAGGCAGCCTCTGCCCACTTGCCGCGGAGTCGCCTGTGACGTCCTTGGATTCTCGTAGCAAATAAGCCGGCAGGGCCTTTGCGGAATGATCTTCGTGAAGCCAAGCAGAAGTCAAACACTGAACAAGAAGAACAGGCACAAGCACCTCACAAGCAGTGTGGATTCATTGTTGGACGCCGCGACATGAGCTACACGAGCTCGTAAAACGCTGCTCGGCTGATTTCTGATGGGTCAAATCTTGTCAGAACCATTGCTGCAAGAAACGCACAAAACCTCTGATCAGCGACTGTTGCGGTCAAGAGGCTATGTTCTTTGACACCCCAAGGGACCCCAACCACATCCACAAGAAACGACCCGCATGTGATCAAGGGGGCGGTTGTAACCTTGCACATCACAAACAAAACAGAATAGGAACCTTAAATCCTGTACACCCACGCCCTCAACTGCGGCATGCAGAACCTCAGGCCTGCCGCTAACCCTGCTGCGGAGTATTCGGGAAAATGCACTTACCAGCCCAAGCTCAGGCAGCCCTGCCCTAACCCGGCATTCACATGCCATAGAGTGTTACGAGACCCGGGTCCGTCGCGGCCAGCCTGACAAAAAGCTGCCATGCCGTTCTTGTAAGATCAACATATAGTCAGTTCAACATCTTCAACAATGCGTCAAATCAGATTCTTTCAGTAGCAATATTAGAGAACTTAAGATTTGTTTTTCAGCCCCGCCAGCTCCGCCGGGTTCGGTAAGAAATGTCTTACCTTCGAAATTTCAATGTTGAGCCACAATCGTAATTCAGGAAGAACACAATCAATTGAATGCACAAAGCAAAGAATCAACAATTGCAATAGAACTCTTTCTGTTGATCTAACTGGTAACTAGACAAGACATGCAACATATAGAATCTCAAGAAGTTATAAGCAAAGCACATGCATTTCACCAGACTTGTGGCGAGCGAATGAACACAACAAATGGCCCCTGTCTCTTGCCTAAGTTGATCTTTCCAAGCTGGCTTGTGAAGTCCGGCAGGCGTTGTCCGACACGAGGGTTGAGGAAGTGAAACCTGCCTGAAGTTGAGGAGCCCCAAGCCTGAGATGAAGCCGGAAAAAGTGCCGGAACACACTGGAGAGCACCCCAAACAAAGACCTTAAGGCAACAGCGGGTTTGGCCATGTCTTGGATTCATGGTTTGCATCTTGTCGTGGCATCTTGCGGCATGCATTTTTGCCGGAACTATTGGGCGCGTTCACGTCGGCTTCTCTTTCGCAATTACCAAGGTGCTACGTACAAACTCAAAGGTCACGAAGCCCACAGCACCTCCAGCTCAACAATCAAGGCCAATCAAGGCTTGAATCTCTGCGCTGCAGGCAGTCTGCGCAGCGCGTGCCTCCAATTCCCATTCTCCAGGCTTTAGGCACAAAGCCTTTGTACAAGGCACGAATACCTGCGGATGATCCGACTACGCACTCAACCCATGCAACGCCCATGACCAAGCCGTCATTCATAAGCGCAGTTGAAGCTGGCAACCCAAAAAACAAATCGAAATACAGGAGGTGACACCTCGGCACACCAGATTGCTTACATTACACGGCAGCTAACGTGTTTTGTTCCGCATCCATGAAGATAACCATGGCTACTCTGATCCTCATTCCTGACAGGTTTTAGGCACATCCACCCTGTATGACTCAAAACTGCCATCGCAGGAGATCGACCTGTCAAGCGTGGTTTCTCCGGGCCACTGCCTTAAGAGAGAAGTGGACGAAGCAAGCCGTCCCGGCCCCGTGGCAAAATGCTTTGCATCTCTTACGAGAAATGCTGGGATGTGCGTGACCGTCTAAGCCGGCCCAAGGTCAGAGAAGATTCGCCAGGTATGGCATGCTCAAAGTGCACTCAGGTCTGCTTGAAGTACACACAACACACAACTCACAAAGTTGCAGATTGACGAGACCTCTGCATCTGCGGTGCACGGGGAAGGGTCGCAGAGGTGTGCTCTTGGCTCTTGCGACTGGGAGTGCTGTGAGCTCGGAAGACCGTGGCAAACCGAAGCCTGAGTCGCGACATCTACTGGATGGGACATGATGGAGGAGGCGCCTGGCCAAGAAGAAGCGGAGGTTTGGACAAAAGCTGGTGGACGCCTTGTGCGACAGCTAGCAACAGGGAGCAAGACTGGAGCGACCTCCAGGATGTGGAAGAGACGGTGAAGAGCGACGATCTGTGTACTTCACGCTAAGCCGTGAGGACAAGCGCCAGGTTCCCCTTGCCAACCAAAGTTTGAAGCTCCTATGGCTCCTATCACATGGACGGTGTCGAGAAAGCCATGTGTATCAGCCTCTCCAACATGAGCAGGAGAAGCGAGGCTGGCCCTGCTGAGTACCACGAAAAGGGCTTTGGGAAGAAGTCAGTATGCCATGTATGCGCACGTGACACCAGAGAAGACACCGTCGAGGGCATGGAAGACTGGGAGAATGAAGATGAAAAGGGATGAAACTGAAGGAGCCAAGAACTTACAAGAATGACAGGACGACCACCGCACTTGGCACGGTAGGAGGCTCGGGCCGCCCCTGAGCAGCTGGGAAGTCGTGGGCTGCTATGGCCGAGTGCGGCCATGGCAGCCACAGAAGGGCCGAAACTCTGCAATCCTCACGGGGGCTGGGCGGCCAGGAGTGTCCGGGAAGAAAAGGACAGTGACAAGGATGAGAAAGGAAGAGCACAAACCCCGAACAGGCCCAGTACAAACCACTCGAATATATATATAGAAAAAAATATATATGGTACCCCCTCCCCCAAAGATCCATCCATTTTTTCTCTTTTCCCTCTGTTGATGTGTTGTTGCTGTGTTGTTGATGTGCTACTTTACTTCTTCCAATTCTATGTTGTAATAGCCAAACACATGATGATAAACGACACACGACACCATTACCTTAATTTACTTGACCGAGGCCCCGCGAATTTACAGCGCATTTAGAAATTTAAGTTAAATGCGGACACCACCCTTTGAATTTAAAACTGCATTTTAAAAAATTAAGTTAAATGCAGACCACCCCCAGGAACCAAGAACCAAGAACCAAGATTCTCAGGACCCTTAATTCTGGAATCTTGGTTCATGGGGCTGGGCTGCATTTAAAACAGCATTTAAAAATTTATGTTAAATGCAGACCACCCCCGAACCAAGAACCAAGAACCAAGATGCCCAGGACTCTTGATTCTTGGTTCTTGGTTTCCTGCGGGTGGTCTGCATTTAACTTATTTTTTAAAATGCAGTTTTAAATGCAGCCCCAGGAACCAAGAACCAAGAATCAAGAGTCCTGAGCATCTTGGTTCTTGGTTCTTGGTTCCCGGGGGTGGTCTGCATTTAACTTAAATTTTTAAATGCAGTTTTAAATGCAGCCCAGGAACCAAGATTCCAGAATTAAGAGTCCTGAGCATCTTGGTTCTTGGTTCTTGGTTCCCGGGGGGTGGTCTGCAGTTAACGCAAATTTTTAAATGCAGTTTTAAATGCAGCCCCAGGAACCAAGAACCAAGAATCAAGAGTCCTGAGCACCTTGGTTCTTGGTTCCTGGGGTCCACCGACTCACTCACTTTTTTCTTACAAGCATAGGGGGGGGGGGGGCAAGGGGGAGGGTACCAGGGGTCTTCCACATAGCCAGGAGCCCTAAACACCCCCCCCGCCCCCCCCGCCCTCCCCTTCCCTCAGCTCCACTGCGGGCTTATTCTCTAAAACCTATTGGGTTAAGGGTTTAGGGTTTCAATGAGAAGCCCCGAAACCCTTCCGGGTTAAATTAAACCCAAATCCTTAACTTTTAACCCTATATGGTTAAGGTTTAAAGGTTTAGGGTTTAAGATTTAGGCATTTACACATATGTCGGCAAATAAACCTAAACCTGTAAGAATTGAACCCTATAGGTTTAATGTTTAAAGGTTTAGGGTTTCAGATTTATTAGGATTAAAACCTAAGCCCATAGAGTCCAAACCGTAGCGCCCAAAAAGGCTCAAAGGTTTTAACCCCACAGGAGCTGAAGGTCTACATGCCCAGACCTTAGGTTTGTAAACCATTAAGGCCTATAGGGTTCGAAGGTTTAGAGTTTTTTGCAGGGTTTATCTCTAAAACCGTCACGGGGTTAGCCCTATAGGGCTTAAACTCCCTATTGGCTCAAGGTTTAGGCAGTATCTAGGAGTAGAACCTTATAACCCTGTGATTTCGGCATTTCGACCCAAGCCCATTAAGCTCAAGGTTCAGGCATTTAAACCTTAGCCCTCAACCCTTTAGGGTCTGAACCGTAAAACCCTATGGGGCCCAAAAAGGCTCAAATGTTTTAACCCCATAGGAGCTGAAGGTATACATGTCCCGACCTTAGGTTTGTGAACCATTAAACCCTATAACGTTGAAAGGTTTAGGGGGTCTTTTCAGGGTTTATCTCTACAACCGTCACGCGGTTAGCCCTGTAGGGTTTAGACCCTATAGGGTTTACAGGTTTCGGGTTTAAGGTAGAGGCATTGTCTATAGAACCTTATAACCCTGAAGGGCTTGAGGCTTAAATCCATAAACGTCAAATCCCGTAGGGTTATGCCTCTGTTTGCAGGGTTTGCCTCCTGCGAAAGTGCAAAGAGAAAGCAGAAGAAGTACCCACATCATGTATGTATATAGGGCACAAGTATTGTATATCAAACACATATAATAAAGAAGGCATAAGGTGATGCAAACAAAATCATCTGCTGTAAGTGCCGGGGATGCGAGAATACTGTGAGCAAATATCTTTTCACTATTCCCTGAGACCGCCAGAAGTTTTTTTCGGTACTTTACGGTTGCATTTTTGTTTTTCAGGGTGCCTCAGGTGGTTGTGTGCTGTTATATCTTAATATAGCGAGGGTTTAGGGTGGTTTTGAGTGAAAGACTAGAGAACGGGGTACGTACGCCAGAAGGTTTTGTCTAGATACTTTACTGATGTATTTGTTTTTGTTAAGGATGTTTCAGGTGGTTGTACGTCTCGTCAGGAGAAACGAGAAAACATGCTGCGGGAACTGTGTTGTCTATTGCAAGTCTCTAAAACGGTGGATCTTTGGGGGGGGGGGGTAGCATATATATATATATGTGTGTGTGTGTATGTATATATACGATTGACACCGGCCTGAATGAACCCCAGCACCTCGTGTACCCACATGTACAAGAGCTTGAGAACGGCACATGTTCAGTTTCGCACCTAAAGGCCCAGGGCTGAGCAACGTCCAGCTATGTGTGACCTTTTTGCCCAATGCAAGCTAAACATTGCTTCGTCCTATGGTCGCCCGGTCGTGCAATTTCAATGTCATTTGCAAGCCCGCATGTTCGCCTTCCCAACCCATAACCCACATCCAGTGTGTTGAATTGTATTGGAGCCATACCTAGCTTTGTGGTGTCACCCTGACATGGTCCGAGCTTCTTATGTAAACCAAGAGGGGCGCAAAAAAGCAGTATTGAAAGCTCTGAAAGCTGAACGTCTCTTCGCCTCCTTCTCGCAGAAGGTCAAGAAGTGTGGCTGGCAAAGTCCTCCCATCTCTGAAAATTCTTTCCCATACTGTGCTTCCCCATACCTCATGTCCCCACAGTGGCCCAGTCTGGCCCAATGATGCCCATTGCATACGCGCGCAGGGCCGTCTCACAGAAAATTGGATAACCTTGTGAGCGCATCCTTCGAGCTGTGGGTCTGCTTTCCTGGACTCGGCTCTTCCTGCAACTTTGTGCTGATACGCTGATGGCAACATGCTTTCCCATCGAAGTCTAAGTCGCCGGCACCACATCCAGTGGCGCATCGAACAACCTCGCTGCTAGAGGAGCAAAGTGGGGCAGCATTGAATAAGCCATGATAAACCCATCATGGTTGAGGGCAAAACGTGGCCAGAATTCCAGCACAGAGTCCCGTGACCAGCTTTTGGATCTCGCCAGCCTTGTGGTGCACGTCAGCTTTGGAGGTGGACGCGCTTCTACGTAGACACTAACAGACCCAGTGACATCCTGTGACAGTGTGTGTGTGTGATTGATTGATTGATTGATTGATTTCGTGACTCCTGAGGGACCCAACCAGACCCTGTCATAATGTCACAAGATGCAATTTGCAGACATCGCAACAATTCTGCAAGGGGATGGCACCAGCAACGGCCACGACCACAAGTGGCATCAGACCCAGAAGAAGGTGCACCATGAACGCACGTGTGTGTTTCTGTGCTGCAGCATGGCATCGAGTGGCAGCATCCAAACACAAGTCTAGCTGTGTAGTCATGATTCTAGAATATTCTCGATAATGATTCTAAATGGAACCCTCCCAGATCGTCGAGATGAGACACATCTCTGTCGGGGCAAAAATTGCTACTAATCAATCTGCGGACCTACCTGCAAGAGCGCAAGATAATTCAAGACGCCGCTGGCACTGACTTTGAGCTGCGGGCGAAGTATGGTTACTTCATGTTGCTCGATATTATTTGTAAGTAGACGTAGACACGGCAGCTTCAAGAATGCAGCGATCACATGTAGAGCCACGAGGCTCTGCTGCAAACGATCGACCAGGCTTCATCTTACGGATTCAACCCAGGGCAGCTTTGCTACCGCCCCCCCCCCCCACTCACCCGAACGCGGCAGGGACAACTTCATCACCCCAGTCTTTCTGCAGACTCGTCCTTGCTAATTTGCCCCTGCGTTGCCCTGGTGCACCTGCCAAGGAACTCCAACTACACTGACGAAGCTATCCCCCATTATCCCCCTGCTGCAGAGTTGCAAGGCATGCGGTTATGCAGGGTTCTTTGAAGGCCTATGCAACTCCCCGCAACAAACGTGCAATGGGCCTACGATATCGTGCGATGCAACTGGGATCTGGGGCCAATCCGTCTGGCGCCGGACCGCTGTACTCGGAAAATTTCGCGATGGCCCCGAAGTAGATCTCAGCAACAAATCAGCAACAAAAACAGCACATCTTGCTTCAAGTGGCCAAGTGATGACAGCGCCCAGCATAGACAATCAGGGAGTGACGCCATTCCATGTGGAGTTTCGCACCACCTGCTGCCAAATGGCCAAGATCCATCCGGTTGCCGTATGTTGCCGTCCAAGCATGCAAAAAATCTCCGAAACAGGTCGAGTTGCAGTTGCAGACAGGCCAGTAAACAACGCGCCGGCACCCTCATCTGATAGGACCTATGCACAGCTTGGCCCAGGTTTTCATGGCGGCAAGAGAGGATTGGGATCGCCTAGCTTCTGATTCTGTATTCCAGGAAGTCCTTCCTTCCGCTCGTTCATTCATTTCATCCATCCCTTCATTCCCTTCATTTCATTCATTCCATTCATTCCCTTCATTTCATTCATTCCATTCATTCCCTTCATTTCATTCATTCCATTCATTCCATTCATTCCATTCATTTCATTCATTTCATTCATTTCATTCATTTCATTCATTTCATTCATTTCATTCATTTCATTCATTTCATTCATTTCATTCATTTCATTCATTGTATTCATTTCATTCATGTCATTCATTGTATTCATTTCATTCATGTCATTCATTTCATTCATGTCATTCATTCCATTCATTTCATTCAGTTCATTCAGTTCATTCAGTTCATTCAGTTCATTCAGTTCATTCAGTTCATTCATTTCATTCATTTCATTCATTTCATTCATTTCATTCATTTCATTCATTTCATTCATTTCATTCATTTCATTCATTTCATTCATTTCATTCATTTCATTCATTTCATTCATGTCATTCATGTCATTCATGTCATTCATTTCATTCATTTCATTCATGTCATTCATGTCATTCATTTCATTCATCTCACTCATTTCATTCATTTCATTCATTTCATTCATTTCATTCATTTCATTCATTTCATTCATTTCATTCATTTCATTCATTTCATTCATTTCATTCATTTCATTCATTGTATTCATTTCATTCATGTCATTCATTGTATTCATTTCATTCATGTCATTCATTTCATTCATGTCATTCATTCCATTCATTTCATTCATTTCACTCAGTTCATTCAGTTCATTCAGTTCATGCATTTCATTCAGTTCATTCAGTTCATATTTCATTCAGTTCATTCAGTTCATTCCATTTCATTCCATTTCATTCCATTTCATTCCATTTCATTCCATTTCATTCCATTTCATTCCATTTTCATTCCTTTTTCATTCCTTTTTCATTCCTTTCATTCCTTTCATTCCTTTCATTCCTTTCATTCCTTTCGTTCCTGTCGTGCCTTTCGTTCCTTTCATTCCTTTCATTCCTCTCATTCATTTCGTTTCATTCATTCAATCATTCTGTCCATGCCGTGACACACTCGCTTGATGAAAACAGCGCCCATCAAAAAGAGGGACGGCAGAATGGCAACGCAGGGCTTTTCGGGGCAACACCTTGTTATTGTGTATCAGAAGTGTTCAAACCTGGTGCAGCCTCACAGTTGTGACCTTCCTTCAGCGCCCGAAGGCACATGTTTATGCTTAGAACCGTGCAAAGCAGAATCTAGCATGGCTTCGGGCTTCAGTACTTACTCACTTGTCATGAGCCACATCCGTCAGATCCCTAAGCTCTCGTTCGGGAACTGCCAGCCCACCCTGAGTTGTGAGCTTTGAGCAGACAGTCCAAGTCGTTTCGGTAGATCTGCACCAACTTCTTGCTCCTACCATTCTGCACAACTTTGCAGCAGCTAGCGTGCTAGCTTCTGCTGGGCTCATGCTTTGTAAGTGCTGCGCTGCATTCGAATTTTGATGACTTGGAACGGCGTCGTCACGAGTGCTTCTGGAAATCCTCTTAGCCAAGTTTGCAAGTGGATTCTTAGTTGTGTCATGCTTTTTGCACACGGTCTGCGTGAAAAGGAACCAAAAGAGCCCACCTGAGCAGAAGCCAGCAACGCCCTCTCTTGCCTGCAGAAGCAAAATTTCAAGTGCAAAACTGAACCATGAAGCACCTGCTTTAAGCATCTGCGTTGCACCCACACTTGATTCCGTACGAACACGTCATAAAGACAGAAACGAGTGATATCTGGGCACAGGGGCGCAAGATGGCTGGTAGCCCTGTGCGTGCAAGAGCTTGGACCTGGCACGCCACGGAAGTCAGAGACAAGTCAGAGACATTTGAAGGCCCAAGGCTCTGCCATGCTCTGCTCCAATTTGCTCTGCTAATTTGCTCGAAAAGCAACAAAATTAAACTTGCTACAAGAGCAGATTCTTTTGTCGAAGACATGTGCAACTGTCGGAGTCTAAATGGGCTTCGCATTTGCGATCAGCCAGAACTGTCTCAGGACGCCCACCCCTCACTTCGCACTGTACTCGGCAGCAACAACAAACAATATTTCGCTTTGCGTGTTTGACGCGGCGAGAGCTACACAAGTGTTGAGTTGTGTTGCATGAGGTCCAGAATGCTCTCACTTGGCAGAAGCTGGACTTATCCCGCTCTCGACTGAAAACGCTCTCATGCACTTCGCCTGGCCAACTCCATCTTCCAAAGAACTTGGTGCAGGATGCCTAGATCCTGGAGAACATCGACCGGCACGGTCAGTGAGTCTTGGCACTTCCCGCCTGTCGACATGGCGCCATGCGACGAATTCGCATTGGCAATAACACCTTCTGCCCATGTGGGTAGTGGGGACTGCACAAGAAGTGCACGTGAAAAAGGTGCACCGACCAGGTTTACAAGTTCAAAGCGACCTTTGTTCTGGTTGGCGGTATCAATGCAGGCTTGCACATAGCCATCGTATGTCTGATTGTTGGAAGGAAAGAAGCGAATGCATTCATTGCACGGGATCAACGCACAGGGCTTGCCCAAAGAAGCAGCAAAGCGAAGGCTTGGTTCAGTTGCCTCATCACCGTAAAGAGACACAATTGCACTGGCAGAAGACACAAGATCAGTGTGCTTTGCATAGAAGTTCTCATCGAACATCTCTCTGAAAGCAGAAAACTTTGGACAGCCCGGCATCTGCATCAGTTGATCGATATTTGTCAGTCGGTTTGTTTTTCCAGTCAGACCCCAGCTGGGGTCGACCACAATGGTCGGCACGCCCCTTTCCAGAAGTGCCATGGCTACAAACCCGGGCTCTCCACCGACGTCAATGACCCCGCTGCCGCTTCGCAACAATTCAATACCCCAGGTTCGTATCATCCAATCAACTACGCACTTTGCCTCGTGAAGCTTTGTCTGGCACCACCGATCACCGCAAGGAGTGACAATCCAGTTCGCCTGAGCGACATGCAGCTCTCTCCCCGCATGTTTCGGACTCCCTCAAGCCTGAAGCGCCCTGACAATCTACTTAGTCTTCTTCGTCTACTTCCCTGATCACGTCATGAGCAACCATGCCTAAATCACTGAATCCACCGTGCTGTTCAGGCACCCATTCTGCTCGCGTCCTTCCTGAATACCGTGGCTCATCACTCATCTGTTGCTGTTGCTGCCAGTTCCACTGGCAGCCATTGGGATGATAACCCTGACACCAACCGCCATTTGCGCAGGGATTGAAGTTACAGCATCCGCAATTTTGACAGGAGTTGCAAGGACCAGGACAGCAGCTGCAGCCATTGCCACCGCAGCTGCCACATCCACAGAAAGGAGCGGCATAGCCTTCGAAGAGCGATGCGCAGGTGTCATGGACGCATGTCGTCGAACATGGAGTTTGCATGGTTCACAGGTGGTCACAGTATGTCACAGTGTACATCAGATGTGTACAGTAGAGGCAGAATATCCGACTGGCACGGCATGTCGCATGCCTCAATCGACTCCTGGGAGTCCAGTTTGCCACTTCCCATGCTGCCCACTAACATGTTGCTTCAGGTTGCTTTGCTTGCTATTGATTGCCGAAAGCGATGCATGCGAAGAACATCGGACACCTGGGGATGCCTTGGCGTTCGCCGAATGCTCTTGCCATCCTTTGTACTTAAGTAAGGGTAATTTTGGGGTGCACTGAAGAGTTTGCGAACTTTCCGGCTATGTGGGGGGGTAGGGGGTTGTTTCATGCGGCGGATTACAACCACATACGCTCAGACAGGCTGGGGGTGGTGGGGGGAGGGGGTTGGTTTCCGCACGCGGTGCATCACGACATGCCATCATGCACTGAGTTGTCATGCCGGCTGGGTGGGGTTGAGAATAACATGGGGGTGGCGCGGGGGGCGTTGATGATGATACATTAATGATGTTGCTTCAGGGGGCAGGGCGGGGCAGGGGGGAAGGCGGGGGGGGGTGGAAGGTGGTGGGGCTGGCGGGCCAGAGGGGGGCGGGGGGGGGGCAGTGCTCTAAACCTCGACTGCGGCCCAAAGTGGGACCTGGTGGGATTTCAAGCAAGGACGCGGCCACAAGTGACCCAGTGAGTGCAGGTAGTCTGCACTGAAGCTTAGAATTACCAGGACATACACGAACTGAACAACTCTAAACAACGGTCTTACCATGCATTGGCAGCGAACCAATGGATCAAGCGGCCTCCCGAACTACAACCCGAAGGGCAGCAGCCGCAACCGCAGCCACAGCAACCGAAACCACAGCAGCCATTGCCGCATCCACCGCATCCTTGTTGCTGCCAGCTTCCGCAGAGCTGTTGCTGACATTGGTTTGGCCAGCAACCACATCCTGCACCTTGATTTGGTTGCGCACCTGGCTCAGGGAACTTCCTACATGGTTGACCAGGTAGCGTGTACAATGAATTTGCCATTCCACGCCTGCCAACGCAAAGTTTCCCCAAGCATTTGCGCAGCCAGAGGGCCAATTGCTGCCTCCGTTTGCGCCGGGATGCTGGACCTTTGTCTCGCCCAAGCTGCAAGCAGCAACCTGGGATTCACTCATGCCAGCTTTGCAGCCTTGTGCGTTGCCACCTCCCGTCTCAGCATTCCATTGCCATTCACTGTTGCCGGCATTTCCTGCACATGTCGAATCGTTGTTCGCAAAACTTGCGCTGCCGCTGCAACTATCATGGGACGCAAAGTTGCCAGGCATACAGCTCTGCTCGCTGCACAGCTGGCCAGTCGACATGTGCAAGTCCATGCATGCTCGCTAAGGTGGGGCACTCATCAAAAGCTTGAACATCAAAATTGCAACGGTGCTTAGATCACTCGGCTAGCGAGACACAGCCTGAATTGCTAAAGCTATAGTTAGCGCCGTCATCAGCCTAGAGACCATCTGTGACAATGTCGAACACAACACAACTCCGGCACAGAGGCTCGACTTGCGACAAGACTCCGCCAATTGATGTTTGTAAGTCTCGCAGTCTATAGGGAAGACGCCAGCGGCGCAGCCAAACCCGAAGAAGTGGTCACTCAAAGGCGTGCTGGACTGCGGGCTGTGGGCACAAGGGAGCAAGGAGATGTGCAGATTCAGGGCAGATGGAAACCTAATGGCCATGACAGCTGGACGAGAAGTCTTTGCCAGCAAACATAGCCGTCCGCGTGGGCACATTTCCAACCTCACTCGACTGCACATGCAATTGAGGCAACGGCCCAATCCCAACTATGGAACACACTTGCGTTCGCATGCGGCTGTCAGAAGTAGTCCTGAGGGAATGCTTTGTACTACTTTGTACCAGGTTGTAAAATATTTACAAATGTCAAGAAGACCCCCTGTTCAAGAGGAGAATTGCAATAGACTCGACCCAGGACCTGCCCCAAACGGATACCATGATGTGGCTCGAACAAGAAACGTAGTCGCAGCAGATCGTCAGCGAAAGAACCATAACCTAACCTAAGCCAGAAAGAACAAAGAGTACAAGGGACCGACAGAATCCGACCGATAAGCTTCCAGCTCACCCCTGAAAACTTTCCGGTTTCGCCGCCCGGGCTGCAAAAATAGTGATATACCGACGAAGCAGCAGACAAAACATCACGAGGAACAGGGACGAACAGCCCACGGATACCAAGGCAAGAGCCATTTCTGGAAGCAGTCCTCGATAGAAACGAGGCCTGATACTTGCCACGCAGTATGCCCGGCTGTGTGACCAGGCCCGACAAGGCGACTGCTAAGACCTTCTAAGTTGCTCTAAGTTGAACCGAGTCGAACCTAAGGTGTCCACCAACCTCCCTCAGCATAGCACTGGCGGAAGGCCTGCGACCTGAGGTTTAGACTCGGAGATTGGAGCGTGGGCTTGCACGAAGATGCACTAGCACCGTGAACATCTGCTGATACTGTATCTGCTGTAGCGAATCTGGGAGTGTTTTTGCTGACGCATTCCGTTGCGTCTTGGGGCCACTCCCCAGCAAGCTGCTGGCCTTAAGTTCAGACAAAGTGTATGATGCACAAAGAGACAGCCTCTGTCAAGAAACACTGCAAAGAGAGGTCTGGTGTGATGCTTTCCAAGTCCACAACAGCTGACCGCTGCGGGTCTGCCGCTCGCCTGTCTCTGACTGAAACGTACGTCTGTATGTTCCTCTCTGTGCTTATGCAGATCTCAATGCATTCCCTCTCTTCCCCACGGAGGCTGCGTGCCTCGTGTCCGACGTGTGTGTGTGTGGACGGCCACGTTCGAAAGGGTGTTAAGTGTTCAGGGCTCCGGTAAGGCAACTGCAAGGCAATTATTGGGCAGCGACCCGACGCAACGTGACTTGGTGCGAAATTCAGTGCCTACTGTCGTGCACTGTCCTAGACCACTGCGTGCTGAGAGATGCACTACGATGGCGCAAGGGTGTTAACCGGTTCAACAAAGTGTGGGGCATGGCCGCTAGCATCTGCCATGCCAACGAAGTTGACAGATGCAAACGTACCTGCCGTGTTGTGCTGTTCATGGCCTCGAGCTGGCCGCTTGAGGGCACAAATCAAGATTACCGTTTCAGTTTCTTTTGGTCCGTACATGTGATGTGTGCCGTATGTCATCAGGAAGCACCTTCTCAGGTGTGCTGGACATTTGAACTCCGACTTCACAAGCTCACGGACCCTTTTTATGGGTCATGAACGAGCCTCGCATACCAGCCCCCTGGCCTGTAATGGTATCTGTCGGATGTCCCCTACGTGCAATTCAACAAGAATGCGATACTAAGGCCACTATAAACTATGTTACAATACCAAGATTTCTCGTGAGCGTTCTTTGGCGAATAGACTTAGTATTGTGATCTGCAAGTACTCTTGCGAATGTGTGTCGCTTAGGCATTCGATGACGGCTTTGTGCTAAAGCGATTGAAATAAACTGGGCTGCTCGGGGTTTCTATTCGGGATTCATTTCGGATTAACCAGAAACCATACTTGCAGCTGTTTGTTATACAGTATGAAGGATGTTGAGATATGTTGAGTAAGCTGAATTAGATCTTGCTTCGGAAAATGGGCTTGCGTGGCTGTCGGGTAACGGCTGTTTTGGCCCGTCGTGATGTTTAGTTTAGTGTCTAAAACATGCTCCTACAACTCCCGCACAGTCAACATCTCTGCCTTGACCTCGCGTCAAAGTTGCATGATGATTGACGTCTTCACTTGCTCGTAAGATGCTGGCACAGGAGGCATTCATGCACGTATACAGCCGCTACGTCGGCCAGTCTCCCTAAGAAGAGTTGTGCCAACATTCTGCATGTTCAAGCGCAACGTACATGAGATTTGTCCTCCTAAGTGGACTTCATGTATCGACTCGGTGCATTGGGATCAAGGCTTGGAATCTGAAACGCTTACTTGAAAGTTGAAAGTGACAAAAGACCTATGCAGTTGCTCGTGCTAGCAAAGTTAAAAACCTATGCAGTTTCTTGTTGGCAGAGTTTGACGGAGAGCCCCTCATCCATTAACAACATGCGTACCGAATGCTTGAAACATCTGGAAGCCATTCAATGGTATTGGATTCAATAGGCTCGGACGGCTGCATACCGGCGGCCATATATTCATATGGCAAAAGGCCACGCATATGTCTTTGACCTCTGCTGCGCCTTTCAGCGAGTACTTGTCTGGGATCGGCTGGCCTGTTTTGGGTGTTGGGTGTTACCGCTGTACACAATCTGGACAGTGGGTTCCTTTGCCTGGTGTCATGAGGTCTTTGGCGTCCTGTTGTGGTTGTCCCGTGGTCTCCAGTCCCAAGCAAGCTTGGAGTCTCGGTTCACGTGCCTCTCTCTCTCTCTCTCTCTATCGTGGAAGGCTTCTGAGAGGTTCTGTGCAGCAGAAAAGCTCTGCCCAACGCTGAACCTAACACGGAAGGGCTGAAGGAATCCAGCCTCGTCGTTGACTAGCACTTGCAAATTTGCAAAGCCGTGCCGGAGCCTCACTCAGTCCAGGCAATGGAAGACGGACGGAGGATCGCCACAGACACATGTCACTCAGTGCCACGGAGTACCATGTAGTGCCTGTAGAGCCTGGGGCGATCACAGGTATTCTCTTGCTTGCGCTTGCGGCCTCAGGATGAAAGAAGGCAAGCTAACTCGCAGGTGTTGGCGCGTCCTTCCGCAGCTGTTGTACTTACAGAGCTTGAAAGATAGTAGGTGGTCTTGGGGTTAAGGAACATGGAAAGCCAAGTACCTGGCGCGCAAAGCCTGCCATCGGCATCCACCAGCACGAGGAGTGTTGGGTTGTCTGATTCCTTCGTGCACTCCTGCGTTGGCAAGAACATGACGTGACTGTGCCATGATACGTGCCAAAGTTCCGATGGGTCCTTCAGGCACGATGCGAGTAGCATGACTTCCTCATCCAAGCCTGATCAACCACCCAAGATCTTGCACCACAGCTTGCACTTCAACATGAAAGCCATACCGGACACTAATGTGAACCACAACTGCGGTCGTGGCATCTCGGGTGCGTGGTCATGCTGGTACCAACCTGTGATAGGAATCAGGGACGTCCTTTCGGGCACTGGACTGCGGCTTCCGACGCTTGGCCTCTGAACTGGAAAAGGCGCGGCTACGTCCACTTGCGGAGAGCACTCCGATGGCAAACCCCGTATATCTAGACCTTTGAGCGATCTCCGCATGTGCAGTCGGCTTGGACTTCTGAACTGCCCGTGAACTTCCGCGTAAGGTGCGGTCGACGGCTCCTCGGGGCAAGCTGCCTGTGGGCAGGTTGAGAAGTTCTGGAGCATTTCTGGAACATTCAGCATAGCTTCAGCATTCGCTTCAGCATTAGCTTGCCTGCCAGGTCTCGTGGAAGAGACGTTTGTGTGAGAGCTCAAGCTCGAGAATTTCATCCTGCAGCCTGGGCGTATCACGTTCCTGTCCAGTGTCGTGTCGGCCAACCGGCGAAGCTGCCATCTGATGCCGGTTGCATGAGCTTGCGGCGGCCTCTTGGTCGACCATGGATAAAGCGTTGCAACCTCTGCCATATCAGGACCACTACCAGCTCCCATGCTACGCCTTGCAGTGCTGCGGCGCACCGTGGAAGACCAAAGCTTCATTCGACCAGCTGGAGAGGGGTTGTCTGAAATCCAGGCGCAAAGCACAGGAACCTGCGAGGACAACAGAAGTAGACTAAGTAGACCGTAAACGGTTGTTCAAGGACGTACTCAGGACATACTCACCAACACACGCAGCGACGATGTCTTGGCCTGAGGCTTCAGGTGCTGGGACATGAGCTCGCGATCCAACAGCGAAGGTGTTGGACAGGTGTGAGGCTTGCCTGGACAAGCTTTGCCGTGCAAGCTCACTATGAAACAAATGTTCAAGACGAAGAAGGATGATTTGTTGAGTGAAGAAACGAAACGAAGAAGCATGAAGGCGTGCGAGCTCGTTACTCTTTCTCAGCCGGAAAACTCGGTTGACAACTGACCCTCACGGAATCTTACCACGAACGAGGTTCTGACTGTCCATGTCTGGAGAAAATGCGATTGATCATGCTTGGAAATACTGTGCCGTATTCATCTTCGACCGAAATAGAAAAGAAGAGCGAACATTTAGATGAAGCACGAACGAGAATGCACAAATACCAATGCCCCAATTGCAGAGAACGATCCTTTCTAGCCTTTCTGATCTTTTCCATGCATCTTTCATTGAGAAAAATAGGCGAGCGTGGAAAACAGTCGTGAACGCACGTAACCCATGGCAAGCCTCATCGCCGGTTGTAGTTCTATCGCTTTAAAAGCGAAACAAACACATCCTGGCTAGCAGGTCCATGATGCCGCACAGTAGTATGCCGACATGTGAACCTTTGTCGCTTGTTGGGTTTCCTCAGGCCGTCCCTTCTTAGGTTTCCACAGCCAGGTTTTTACCAAGCCCAAACCCAGCGACCCAAGCCCGACAGCAAAAAGGGAGGACAGGCGATGTAGGATTGAAAATCAACAGCAAACTGAAGCAGCTTGAAATCTCGATTTGCTCCTGAGCATACTAGCATCAAAAGCGTTGTTCATTGTTGTTGTCCTGAAGTGACAGCAGTGAAGCAACTGCTACGACAGGTGGTGCCTCCGGCAAGAACGACTCCGGTCACTCCTGTGCCGAATGTGCCCAGCAAAGCTAAACTGCTAAACGTTGCTAAACCAAACGGCAAACAACATCAAACAACACAGACAGAACACAGATCACGCCTTCCAGCGGAGATCGAGCAGCCTGTCGAAGCAGCAGTTTTGCCAAAGCCTGGGACAGGTTTCGCAAACCTACACAAGGTCGTGCTACAGTCATGTTGTGTGGCAGGTCTTGGGCGCCGTCCGTTGTTGTGGCTCCAACTGCCGTCCCTGACCCTGGCAGTAACTGAAAGTTTTGCTTCCTGAGGTGCTGTAAATAATCTGCAAAACTCTCGGCCCTTTCACTTCAGATGGCCCGCTAACTGGACCAGCCTGCCGCTTGAAGATCAGTGCCAACTTCAGCCAGCAGCTGCCCGGTCTGCACTCGCTGCTCCCCGGTTCCCACCCTAGGAAACTTGCGCGTAACCCCCTGCCTCACCACATGAGGTCCGGTAAAGTAGCAGGCAAACCTGTGGAATCAAGCACAGAAGGAACCACAGAGAACCACACATTGACAGATCTTCAAGACCGCGGCGTCCTGTCGACAAGGTGATTTGTCCAGGCGAACTTAGTGCACTTAGCTAACTTAGCGGGACAGGCAACAGTGTAGCAGCCCATTTTTTGGACAATGCAGCCTATCGCCTGTACGATCCTGTACTGTCACCATTGTCACCCTTCAACATGAATCGACAATGTATCTGAGTTCCAACGGCTAGTCGCTTTGAGCTTGGCTTGCAATGTTACGAGCAAAACGCAATCCTTGCACAAGCGGCATGGTCGATCTTAAAATGTCCGTACACGCACGTACGCGCACGTGCACACACACACACACCCACGCACGCACGCACGCACGCACGCACGCACGCCCGCACGCCCGCACGCCCGCACGCGCGCCCGCGCGCACGCCCGCCCGCGCGCCCGCGCCCGCCGCGCGCCCGCGCCCGCGCGCCCGCGCGCCCGCACGCCGCACGCACTCGCGCACCCGCGCACGCACGCACGCGCACACACACGCACAAAGACGGACACGTACGGACACATACGTATCAGAAAACGGGTGCAACACACCTTTTCAGCAGGCGGTTGCCAAGACTCAAGGGCCCTACGCGTTTCGGGCCAAGACAGCAGCAGAGATGCTGCACTGTACACTCAGTCCTTAGACAAAACGGGGTTTCGTTTGACACTCCCAACTTTTTGTTGGCTTGAAAGCGTGTCGGGACTTGGTAGAAAGAAGGGTCAGCAGTTTGTCGCTTCCCCCTGGGAGCTCAAGGCTCTCCGCAGTAGGAGAGCAGCCGGTTGAACCGTAGCTGCTTGTGGGTTCGTGGTGCAGAACGTGTCCGGGTGCACATACTTGAGGTTGGTAGGAAGGCTTGTCTCACTGGAGGTGTCCGCACACCGTCTCAGTGGTGGTCAAGCGTCAGACCTTAGCTGAACAGTCGGCCGTCTAAGCCAGTTGCGGAAGGTTTCCCGCAAGCTGTCGGAGACTTTGGTCAGGCCATCTGCCCACATGGCGGTTGTAGGAACCCAGCGCATGTCTTGTGGGGCGATGGTTTCTTGGACAGCCCTGATCGTCAGGCCAACGCGCTTCTCCTCAGTGTTGAAGTTGGCGGCGATGGCTGCGTCGAACAACGATTTGCAATCGGTGGCGTGGCAGTGACGTAAGGTCTTGAGATTACTTACGGGGTTGGCATCGCACCCGAAGACTATCTCGGAGAACATCTGGTTTGCCAGCACACCGCTGTCGATTGCATCATCTGCGGCATACGCCTCACCTGCCACAGGGTGGACCGCACTACGCGTGGGGCGCGTGCGCTTTTCCAATCCAGAAGAACGGCGGGGGCGTTGCCTGTCAGGGCGCTCGGTGTAGTGTAGTGATACACACGAGAAGGCCTTCCTGACTCTTGTACTCGTGGGCGTTAGCCCACGAGCAGTCACCGTAACTTACGATGATGCTGTGCTCGTTGATGGGGATCCCTCGGAGGGTCAACCCATCGTCGCTAGTGCGAGCGAAGTTCTCAGCTCGTTGATGGTCGACTCGTTGCCACGGTTCATCAAAGACACCGTAGCCGCACCATCCGGACGTGTCTGTCCCACGAACCACTGGAGTGCTCCACAGACGGAGCGGAACTCCGAAAGCTCTGACTCGGTCAGTTTTGGATTCTCGCGGCCTCTTTGGCGGGTCACCTTCCCGGGGGCAAGGGTACGAATGTACTCTGTTTGCGTTACCCGGAGGATGAAAGCACCGTTCTCCTTGACTGTCCGGAGCTGCTTCCCTTTGAAGGTGATGACGTCGTTGTCGAAAGAGGTCTTACCCCATTTAAAGAGGCTTGTTAAAACTGCCAGGTCGAAGTGGTCAGCGAAGGTGAAACTGCCAGGTCGAAGTGGTCAGCGAAGGTGACGAGGAAGTCGTCCACGTACACCAGGGCCATGCAGTCCAAACAGCCTTGTTTGTCGTAGTGAAGGAAACACATACGATCAAGGGCATGAGGCCTGAATCCTGCAGCGAGGAGTCTTTTTCCTACCTCGAGAGACCACAACCTTGGCGCATTTGCCAGTCCATACACGGATCCAGTGATTTCATATATGGTGGCAGGGAAGGCGCCGGCTTTGTCCAGGATTGGGTCTCTTGGGGACATCATGAAGAGGCGATTTGGTCGCTCTCCTTCGTTTTGTCTCCCTTGTAGGAAAGCCGTCGTGGCATCCGCGCTCCACAGTCGCCATACTCGGCGGTTGTGCAGAAAGGAGCGATTGCGCCCACTGATATAGACCGCGAGCAAGATGTGCTCGGTCAGCCTTGTTGGTGTGGGTGCGTCCCGACTGTGATGGCGTGCAAATCGGGGTCGCGGTGTCCTAAGACGACTACGCGGCACTTTGCCTGGAGGACGCCTTGCCCGCAGGCCTTGTCACGGTAACAGGCTCGGGACTTGAGGACCCGGGTCCTGAGAAGAGGGTCCTTGAGGACTTGGTTTGCCTCTTCGTTGGAGAGGGGACGAACGGGAGCCCAAGTGTTCCGCTGTTCGTGCTCTTTACCTGCCGCTTCCACGTATTTGTCAAGTGTGACTCCTGGCTGCTTTATGATTTCCCTCCAAGGAATTTCCCTGTTTAGGGCCTTGACTTCCTTGCGGGTCATCTTTTTCACGTTGGCCAGCTACTTTTGGTCACCAACGTAGCAAACCTGCCACGAGGAATGGCAATCCTCGACGTTGTCGTATTCGGCACCTTGGATTGGAGGCTCAAGAGAAACCAGACTTCCTCGGTGGTCCGGTTCCCAATCCGTGCCGTCCCATCCTGTTGGTCTAAGAAAGACCTCTCCGGACTCGCAGATCAGGGTTGCTTGGCTGCTTAGCCTTGAGATCCGCTTGGCAGGAGTGGAGGGTACTGACGAGAGGCGGTCTGCCGTTCGCTCGGTGCCTTGGCTTGCCATCTCAGCGTCGTTGAGAGGGGCCTCTGATGCCGGCGGCGACTGAGCCGGTGGAGGAAGCGGGGGCACGTTAGCTGCGCTTGCCGCCGCGGTGTCGGCTAGGGCTGCCAAGTCGGCGCCACTTATGCTGTCCAGGGCGGACTGGGCCTGGAGAAGCAGTGGGAACTCCAGTTCCGGGAAGAGGGACTCATCCTCTGGCGGTGGTTCGCCCTGTAAGTCCTCTACTTCGCCGCGCAGGAGATTAGCCTCTGCATCCTTTAAGGCCTTTATGTCTTCGTCGGTGGGGGACCACGACTCGAACCCATAGGCCGGTCGGAGTTGGTCCCGGTCCACTCTCACCGTCTGGGTGCCCCATTATACCCATGCACAATGTCCAGCGAAGGCCCCCAACCTGCCGATGACATAGCCGCCGCGCTTGCGGGGGCCTTTTCCGCGGAGCTGGGACCGCCATACTGCGCACTTTGCACCAGGCGTTATGTCCTCTATCCGCATGTGTGCAGTTTTTTCGAAGGAGGGCGCGCCTTATGTGTTGGTCAACGTTGACCTGCGCCGCTGCCTTCTGAGCTTCTGCCCTGTAGACGATTGTGTGGCGGTTGTGTTCTTCCAACGGAATGTTGGCTGCCAGTGACGAATCGTCGGTCAGAAGTTCTGCCGGAACACGGGGGATGCGACCAAACACGATGGCATATGCTGACAATCCGCGCGTGCGGGGTGTGGAGTTTATGGCGTGCGCGGTTGCGTCCACCGCCGTGTCCAGGTCCTCCTGCGCGGCGGCCGCCATACTGTCCACTACTCGATTGAGGATTTCCCGGTAGACGGCATTACACCTTTCGGCCTTGCCTAGGCGGTGGTGTGCCTCGGGAGGAACGTAATCCACCTCTGTGGCGCTGTCGACGAGGTAGGACCAGAAGTCACCCATGAAAGCACCGTCTTGGTCCAGGGTGATCTTGTGGGGAAAACCAAAAGGACGTACCCAGGTGGCGCGGAACGCCTCGATGATGGTTTAAATTTCGGGTTGCGGTCCTTTAGGACGCAGACCTGCTGGCCTCGTCCACAATTCCGAGCATCGGATAGTTTGTACCCTCAATCGTCCGCGAGTAGAAGATATCCATCTGGACGCTATCACCCAGCTGTCCGACGAACCGATCTATCAGTCTGGAGGGCCGCGCTGGGGCGTTACCCTTCAAGCGGAGACAAGAAGCGCATGAAAGCGCCTTGGCGGCCGGAATAGCCTCTGGCGTCACTGAGCCGCTCTGGGCCAACATGCGCACGGTGTCGGCAGCGGAGGGATGTCCTAAATTCACGTGGAGTCGAGCTACGGCTCGCTTGATCTCACGTGGCGCTTGGCAAACCGGGAAGGTCACGTCCGCGCCGTGGACTTCCTCCGGCGGGACCTCCGGGTACACTAGCAGATTATCCTTTAGAACCCACCACCTCCCCGAGACCTTCCCCCGATCCCATTCTATCCGGGAGAAGAACTCTAGCTTTCAGCTAGCTAATCTCCACGGGGTTGGGAGGGTGGACACTAAGAAAAATTGCCCCCCCTAGCTTTTGGGGCACTTTTGTCCCAAAATGGCAACATGTAACTGTATCAACATGTACATGTAGCGCCTTCAGTGTAGATCTACACTTGGGCGTATAGAGCATAGCGGGACACCTTCGATGTCCCGAGCATCAGGAGCATCTGCTAGCACACACTGTCGTAACAAGTCACGAGTGCGTACACTAGCAGATTATCCTTTAGAACCCACCACCTCCCCGAGACCTTCCCCCGAGGGGTATGGCGGTGGGAGCGTCGCTCCATAAACAGAACTCACTAGCATGCAAGAGTTCTTGGCCACGGACTGCTTATCTTTTTATCGGAGTGGCAGATCCCATTCTATCCGGGAGAAGAACTCTAGCTTTCAGCTAGCTAATCTCCCATGCGAAGCCGACCGGATCACCACGGATCTAGCTTCCTGGCTCTTTTCCGGAATCTTCTTTCCGGTAGCTCAGCCTTCCGCTTGCGGCACGATATGTCCTCGAAGTAGCTCTTCGCGTGCCCCAGCAGCTGATCCAGGATCTTCCACTGCAGGTCCTCCCCTTTGAGGGGTATCCTAAAGGCCATATCGAACATCTTGAACTCCTCATTCGTGAGGTCATCTGCTAGCTGGTTGAGGTCTCGCCTTATCCAGGCCAGCTGCAGCTCGCAGTCCTTGGATGCCAGCTCTTCCGCTAGCTCCATGAGTATCAGACCTGAGGGGTACTGCGTGGTCATGGCCTTCTTCACTAGCGCCTCGTTAGACTTGTTGTCTGTGTAGCCTCTGATGGCCACTCTCGAGATCTGGCGTCCATCTGAGGCGGGCACCCATAGCTTCACCGCAATCAGTGTAGCCAAGAGTTCCAAGGCAGCAATCGTTTTCTTTGGAGATCCCTTAGCGAAAGCCCACGGAGCCCAGGATTCCTTCACCTCTAGCGAAAACCACGGGCAGTGGCCTCCCACGGTCACCTCCAGGAATCCACCTACCCAGGCACGCTCGTCTTCTGCCTTAGCGTCAGTGTAGAAGTTCATCGGTGCCTGGCCCTGTATCGGTAAGCTCGGTCTTTGCAGCCTATCACCCCCGGCCAGCCTTCCCGCTAGCCAAGCTGCGAGGACCCTTACCATCGTGGGGACAGTCATTAGCCCGACCTTGCCCTGCACAGCGACAGCGGACGACCACGCATGTAGCGGTCCTAAGAAGGGCCTCTCCCAGTCCAGTGCAATAGCGGCAAAACCCAGCCTCCCCAAGCCTTGAGCCATCTCCTTTGCCCCGATCTTGCCCTTCTCGGAGAGGTCCTTTAGCCAGGCTACCAACCATCCGGCCCTCTTCTGCGAAAGCCCTAACTTGAACTTGGGATACTCGGTCTCTAGCCATGCCTTGGTGCCGCGACGGCGGGAATAGCGACTCGTCCGGGAAGTCCTCCGGCTTAGCGTCCGGTATCAGGTGGGCGTTGGAGGCCCGCAAGAAGAACCTCGGGCTAGCACTGCGCTGTTTGCCCGTCTTCGTCCAGACGCTACTAGCGACTTCGCTAGCTTGCCCTCCTGCAAAGGTAGCCGGCTTGTCCCCCTCTGCGGGTAGCTTGTTTGGCGACCTTCTGCGCCGGCTAGCTGTGGGCCCCGCATCTTGCACCATAGCCAGCTTGTCCATAGCGGAGGTGATGAATGTCGTAGCCGGAGTGGTTGTGGAGGTAGCCGGCTGGGAGTTCGCCGTGTCAGCCACTCCGCCAGTAGCTTCCACCTCTCCTCCCACAGCCTGGGCTCCTAGCAACTCATCTGCCCCTTCCACGGTCGAGGCTAGCGGCACCTCGAGCGTGGCCAGCTCTTCCTGGGAGAGGGTAGCAGCCATCGCCTGGTGTAGCTCAGTAGCTGACACCGAGTTGCTCACCAGAGCCTTTAGCATCTCCACGATCTCCTTCACGGTGAGGTTAGCCACCGACATAGCTGGCTAGTGCACAGATTGGGGGCTTATCACAGAGCTTGGGTTAGCAAGAGCGCTGCGAGTAGCTCAAGCTTTGTCCCCTGCGAGGGACCTCCTCAATTTCCCTAGCAGCACTCCCTCCATGCCACATGCTTCCTGCCGGACCCCGGAGGGTAGCGTGAGAGTGGCGAACCTTGTTAGCCCCCCAAGCCTCACCCGGGAATCGCAAGCCGACATGAAAGTAGCAGACAGTGCAACAAGCTCACAAACTGCACACACACACACACACACACACACACACACACACACACACACACACACACACACACACACACACACACACACACACACACACACACACACACACACACACACACACACACACACACCCACACACACACACCCACACCCACACACACACAACACACACACACACCACACACACACACACACACACACACACACACACACACCACACACACACACACACACACACACACACACACACACACCACACACACACACACACACACACACACACCACACACACACACACACACACACACACACACACACACACACACACACACACACACACACACACACACACACACACACACACACACACACACACACACACACACACACACGCCCTAGCACTCTCTTCTCTCTATCTTTCTCGGCCCTCCTCCGCGGCCTAGGTATCTCCTTCTTATCACGACGCCCCTGCCCCCCCCACCTGCCCCAGCCATCCTTCTAGTTGCGGGGGAAAAACTTGCAGGCTGTTCGGGAACCGCTGAGCCCAAAGGGAGGGAGCCTCAGGCTGCATCCCCCCTAACTCCGACTCGTTAGCAACTGGCGACTCTTCTGCCACCTCGTCTCCCGAATGAGCTAGCGAGGCATCACTAACCTCTCCCTGGCTAGCATCAGAACCGGCGTCAGGCCAGCAAAGCCTACAAACATGTGTATATTGCTCAGAAAGCGGCCGATGCCCGGGGCGCTCCATATCGTGTGCTTCGGAGGGGCTATTAGTGTCCAATAGCAGCCGCGTTGTTGCTGCTTTTCGACTGCCTTGAGCATCGCCTTGCTCGCTTCAGGACTAGCGTGGTCCTGGGAGCTTGTGAGCCTCACGGCTAGGACCAGGGGCCTGTAGTAGTCTAGGGCTTCCGTGAGCTTTTCCGGCCACGGTGGGACGCAATGTCCCAGGTTTCCTGCACGCCCTTCAGGCCGAACGCTTCAACATTGTCTTTGCTGTCACACGTGGTGACCTGAAGCAGGTCGTGGTCGTAGTCGACCTTGCGTCGTGCATTCACCGCCTTCGTCAGCTCTGCACGAAGGGTGGACAGCTCCATGTCCAAGGCCGCGCCTGCCTTCCGAGCAACGCTCGCCAACCGCTTCCGCTGACCGGTTTTCAGGGGAGGTTCGAGTCCAGTCGTAGAACTCGCCGTCGCTCGGACTCTCCTGGACCTCGTAACTCATCCCCGACGCGTGGCTGGCCAGGTCGAACTCTTGGGGTGCCCGGCGGGTCGATGGACGGAAGCGGGGGGAGTTCGGCAAGGAAGGGGTATTCGAAGCTTTGGCCTTGGCCTTGGCTCTCGTACCGGGGGCCGTACTGAGGGCCACCGTCGTAGTCGGCGTGGGCAAGGGCAAAGTAGACCGCCCACGCGACTGAGGCCAAAAGACCCAACCAGCGAGGTCTTCTTGCCACTTCCACCGGGTTCCGCAACGGCGGCACAGAGCGTACCTGCCGGTCGCGTTCCCGTAGCGGTTGATCTCGCCGGACGGACGCGGACAGTTGTCCGGCGTGTCGTCGATGGGGGTCGATGCTTCCAGCATGTCCCTCGCCCATCCCACGTTGAGCCTGCAACTCTGGCGCATGAGCACCACGAGGCGGCTCCTCAAGGTGAGAACTTCCACCAGGAGGCGGCGCCATGCGCACAGCCAAAGCGGTGCTTCGCTCTCAGACAAGCCGCGGCTTCCGGTTGCATCGCTCTGGATTTTTGCGGGACCGAGGAGCACTTCGGTCTGGGATCTCGGTGGAGATGCCACTGGTCGAGGTCACCGGAAAATCCGTCACACACAGGGCCAAATGCCCACCTAGGGTAACACGGAGGGGGACCGTCAGATCGAGGCTCCGGAGGTGAGCCGTCTGACTTGGGAGGTCCAACACCACTCCAAGAGCATCCGCAGAGGCCTCACCCTGCGCGGTTCGAGGCCTTCCGAGGCCTCCCGAGGGATGTCCGTCGCCAGCAGGGAGGCCATCAAGACCATCATCCTGCCTTCGACGCCGGCAGGTATTGCCAGTGAGGCTGAGCTCATCACCGGCTTGCCAGCACCGAAACGGAAGCGCTCCGATTCGGGAAGCCGGTGCCAATGGGGCACGCCAGAGCCACTTCGGGCTGGGTGCAGAAAGAGGGGCACCGCAGGCCGGGAAGGCCGGGTGCTCGGGTTGAGGCACCTCCGCCGAACGGCGAGGCGCAAGAAAGTGTCGGTGCACCTCAGGCCGATGGGCGAGGCGCAGAAGCACCGTCTGCCCAGGGGCGAGGCTACCAGGTCCAGGTACCTGGAGGGAGCTCGTCGAACCCGAGGCCCGATCTTCGCTTGCTCCGCTACCAGTATCAGAAAACGGGTGCAACACACCTTTTCAGCAGGCGGTTGCCAAGACTCAAGGGCCCTACGCGTTTCGGGCCAAGACAGCAGCAGAGATGCTGCACTGTACACTCAGTCCTTAGACAAAACGGTCCCGTTTGACAATACGGACACGGATACGGCTACGGATACGGATAGACGGACACGTGCACGCACACGCGCAACAAGGACACACGGGCATGACCTGCCTTTCGAACGTATCCGTAGACATGCATGGCAGCTGGTCTTGATTCGCCGAATTTTATGCAAGACTGCCAATCATAAAAATTCAGCGCGATCGATGCTTGCTGAGTTGATCGGGGCTGAGCTGAGAATGCTGAGACGAAGGCGTCCAATCGCCAATGCGAGGGCCCCAAGCTTGCCTTCGCTTGGCCCTGCAGTCTTCGATATCGCGCACATAACAAATACGATGCTGCCTGCGGGTCTCCAGACAGAATGCTGTGCCCTTGCTTGTGTGTGTGTGTGTGTATCTGTGTCTGTGTGGCCTCGATCGCCGCTTTCCGCAATGATGAGACGATCAGGTATCAGCACCGAATCCTCTCGCAACGCAGCGACTTCGGCAAGGCCTCCCGAAGCAGTTGTCGCGCTACATTCTGCATCATTCCGGCGAGCTTTTCATTCTGCTCCGCTGGCCTTCGCCAAAGAAGCCATGCTGCGCAACATCTTTCCCGTCGGAACGCCGCCAAAGGATGCCTGAGTTATTACTTGCATGACTGCATGCAAGAACAGCACTGAATGCATCGGTGAATAGTCCAAGCCCAGTACATAAACCCTTGACGCAGCTGCCGCATCCATCAGTGCGTTGAAAAGCAGGCATTTCCAGCCATTGTGCTCACTGCTCAATGGTTGGTTGGTTGGGTGGGTGGTTGCTGTACTGACAAGCTGACAAGATGTCTCTCTTGCTCGAAACAAACACCGTGTTCCAGAACCGTGACGGCGCATCGTAGTCATAGTCTGAGCAGGCCTTGTATCTGCCATCAGCCTAGAGCACAACCTGCCCATGGAGTCCGTATACCTGGAGGTTACCTGGAGCCCACAAAGTTCACGAGCACAATCAAAACTGCGGCCGGCAAACTCGGTCAGCACATGCACGAGCATCGCACTGTTGTACGGCAACGCGTGCAAAGCCGAGGATTGGACATTGTTGGGTTCATGGACTTGCTGAGTTGAAACCTGGAATGTTGTCGCACTGGCAAGAACAATCTGGTGGGGCATTGTTTTGCCTCGTCTTTATCAGCTCCAGCGGCTGCACCTTGCAGCAGGTTGTGAATTTCAAAGAGAATGGCTTCTGCAGCTTGAAAGTCTGCATGTGGACAAGTTCGGAACCACGAGGGACTCCACGCCACCAGCGACCCCACCAGCGATGGCGGCTTCTCGGCTCATGCTGCTGGCTCAGGATGGCTCAGGGCAGGCTTCAACCACAAACCTCGGTAGCCATTTAACCGTGAACTTTCGGGTCTGGTCACCTCCAAGCTGTGCTACTTTAGTCAAGGCCTGCACCCTGCGGCGCCCCGGGAAAAGAACCGGAACACATCGCATATCCAATCAGTGCGTGCGATCCTGCTGGTGTGGCTGTTGGCTGATATCTCCATCATGCGCAATGGCCCAGTCTGGTGACTTGCTTATGGCTGCCATCTCCATCCTGCGCAATGGCCCAGTCTGGTGACTCTGTAGACATTGGGCTGCCTGACTTTCAGCTGGCGTGCCAGTGGCTGCAGCGATCGGCCATTGGTCAAGCGTGACTGTATAAGACCCCCAACAGTAGCAGTATCATCACAGATCGCACAAAGCAGCTCAAGAAAATACATCCTGCGCACGCAAGAACACGGAGCTTTTGAACGTTGCCAAATGCCGTTGGGTTGAAATAGAGAAGCTAGTAATTAGCAGCTGCGATGCCAAAGCTATGTTGGCGGTCCAGAAAAGAAAGACCTGGCCATGGACAAAGAGCCCAGAACACACCAACAAGCACCGACTAGATCCTCAAAAAGAGCTACAACCAATTACGGGCTTGGCGCTCTATGGCGCCCGTGGGAATGCATGCAAATCTGTCACATGCCCCATCTGCCTTGCGAACCCGTTGCGCCCACTCATGACCTTGCACGGAACATGAAGTGCGTGAAAACAGTTTGTCCCATTGCAGCAAGACTGCAGCAAGGGCGATGTGTTATCAGCCACTTGTGGCTTGCTGTAAACACTACACAGAATGGACAGACCTATGAAACACGTTGCTGAATCTGGAGTCCGAGTCCTTACTTGCGTGCATGGCCCGCTTGCACGGTGGGCTTTCTGCCCGCGCTGGTCAAACTATGCAACAGTTCTTCAATCAAGAACTTTTGCAAGTCTCAGTGCAGCACATGTTTTCTGTTGGAGAACTCTTTTAGGCCGTCCCGGCCCCAGAAGCTGGCGCCTGGCATCTGCCAGCCAGGGCTACACTGCTACACAAAATCGTGACATGCTGTCACTTCGTGTCGGTCAATATAAGCAATGCGCCGAAGCACCCATTCCGCTTGGCCCAGTGCCGCCAAAGTTTGCCGCGTAGTTGGAGATCATGCGCTGATTCACAGGCGCTCTCTAAGACTCCCACAAACAAGAACAATGAAGCCCGCACCATAGGCCCGCCATTCACAGCGATGTTGCCAGCTGGCACGTTGCTGATGAACTCTACTTCAGCCGATTTCTCCTCGGCGCCATCCAGCGCAGAAGTACGCAACACATCGCAACACTGCAACAAAAGATGCCGCTTTCCTTCGTGTAACAGTATGCAATCAATGGCTTGGCCGAGACTTGGTTGATGGTCCGGATGGCCTGCCAACAATGTGCATTTTCGTCCTCGGTTTTCATGTCCTGACACATGGTGCATATGCCTCCTGCACATCCCGAACAGGCAAGATGGGCAGCAGCGGTCCGAAGATTTCTTGCTGGAAAACCTTACCAGCAAGCAGCCGCACAAGGCCACACATGAAACATGATATGTTGATTGGCAAGATCCCAACAGCTCGATCACGTGCCGGAGAAAGGATGCCAGTCATCGGCACAGACATTTCCTTTCGGAAGCAGCGAAATCCTTTGTGCCACCATGCCAGCACCCAGAGGCCTTGAGACCGGAGCCTCAACATATCTCATTATTTATCTCATTATTGCTCATCGCGAAACTATGGAAGTTGTTGGAAAATGTCGGAAAACAGATGTCCATGCCCCAGTGGGTCCATGTCCCAAACCGACGGGGAAAAGAAACAGGAAAGGGTAGGTTAATAGGGGTGCCACCAATGAAACCGATCACTCCAGTCCAAATACAACATTTTTGTTGCTGCGATTCTCCGTGCACGGCAAGTGCAAGCCAGGCCAACTCATCAACTCTGCCTGATTCAACCTCCTTTCGCTCGCATTGCAGTCTCGACAATGTTGAAACTACGCTGTAACACCAAGCCGGGCCTCTTCATGGAAGCTAAACTCGCCACCGACAGGAGGAATCTGCAAGTAGCGATCGTGGCAGCGAAAGCTTCCAAACGGTCAGCGCCACATAGCCGAGATCCAGGCACACTCAGCCTTACAGTCCTGGAAGAGCCGGGTCATGTCGTTGTACTGCCGTCGTCCAAGCATCCGAACATTCCGCCTTGCAGAACAATCGCACGCAGAGGAAGACGGCAACTGAAGCCAGCATCCTGTGTACACAACGACCTATGTGCGACAGCAGGCATTCGAAGGTGGCTGCGCGGCCATGCTAATTACCAGTCGCGGCGTTTGCCCCAGCGATTTCGGGGCAGGGCCGGCAGGCTTTGGGAAGTTTGAACCCAAACTTCGCCTCCCGCAGAAAAATCTGCAAGCCTCCACCTGCCTTTCTGCTCCCGAGACTCCCTACACATCAAGCAATGGGCCCACTTTGAGTTTCAGCTTCATTAATTCAGACAGATAGATCAGACAGATGCCAACAGATTTCAGAATTTGCGCTACTTGCTTCGGCCTTCCACTGCTCCCGGTTCACGAGCTTTCAACCCCCCAGGACTGCCTGGTGCCGAGGTCCTCCACCATGGCCTCTTGAGACAGCCACATGAATGAACCAACACACATATAGCAGTCATATAGCACTTGCTGTGGGCTACTTGTTGTGGGCTTGGGACTAGCCCCAACGGCCTTCAGCACACGGCAAAAGTCACGCACGACCGATTCGTGGATCAACACCTAACGTGGTGCCCTCTTCTGGCATTCTGGCATGAAATGGCATGAATCGCCCTGCACTGCCCAGTCTGTACAGAAATTAAGTGCTTGGCATAATCGTGAGCACAGCAGAACTGCCCTGTCTTGAAAACCTGGCTGCTGTGATGGGGGAATGTAGCTTATAGGGTAAGAGTCGGAAGAGTAGAGCCTCTTGCATGCATGAACCTGCCTTGGTCTCCAAAATCTCTTGCACAACGCTGCGCAGCATATCTTCGTCCAACCTGGCATGGGGAAGCTCTGCAGGTGTACCGAGGACATCAACACCCTGCAAATCATGCTTCGACTAGGCGGCACACCCTTGATCAACAAAGGCAGGACTTTTGCCGCCGAGCTCCAGGGTGACCGGAGTCAACATCTGGCAACACAATGCAACACAATGCAACACAGCTCCGTTTCCTTAGGGTCTGCTCGCGGGCAGCCTGGCCGCAGCGGGCAGCCACAAGCTTCGCAATTTCACCACCGCCCGTAAATGCCTCAAGCGCTCGAAGGCAAGACTCCACACTCCAATTTCGAGATATTTCGACATGAGCTGCTAGATGATCAGCTCCTTCTGCAATGAGCCTTTCTACAGCCTGCAAGGCACGGAAGTTCCAGATTCCAGATTGTTATGGCATCTACTGCTATACTTATCAGGAGTGCAGGGGCTGCTGGTGTCGGCTCGCCTCTTTGCCCCCTTCCTCAACCCACACGTAGCCGCTTAAGTGTTTTTGACCTGACAAGCACTTTAAACAGATCAACAGTGTGCGCCGACGAGACTCCGCAAATACGTTTCGCCCTCAAATGCTTTATCATGCTTTATCAAAAGCTTCGGCCGAGCAATCTGCAGAGCTTTCGGAGGACCGTAGAAACCGTCGGCACCAGCTCAGGGGGCTTGATGACAACCTTGACGAGGACCACTAATCTGTTTGCATGCGTCTTCGGGACAAACCACATCCGGCAACAGCATGGCTTCTTGCAGCCCAAGTAGCGTGATTTCCCGCCGCTAGCATTGACAGCGCCGGAGCTAAGCTCAGAGTTGCCGGAGCATTCCAAGGCGCTATGTTGATGCACACCTCAGCAAGTGTTCCACTTTAGTTGCCCCATCCGTACAGCTCGAACTTATAGGATCATCTAAGCAAGCACTTCAGCTTCGGCATCCAGCTCCTTTGGGCTCATTGTAGATCGCCCAATCCGCCTGTGTCTGCGTCCAGTCATGCCTTCTCTCGAACTTCCGCCAACATCATGCCTACTTGCTGCCTGCCTCCACACCTGCCTTCAAGGGACCTGGAACTAAATCATCCAGAGGCTCCTGGAAGCATCTCTGACAACATCATCACTTTGTACATGTGTGCACATGTCACACATCAGTTCTCCGGCTTCACCCACTCTGGCAGCAAGCCCTTGTAGAAAGCAATGCCTCTTGCGAAACCGTGGAAAGACGAGACGAGATAAACACTCACTGCTCGGCAAGCACATGGCCTCCCAAGATCATCTTCACGATGCCTTGCCAATTTGCAGGAACTACCTCAGAATAGGCATCCTGAATTGGTGTCGTAGTAGCTGTTGCAAGGCTCGGGTGCCTGGCACGATCAGTCTCCTGCGCTTTGCTAATTTCTTCGCAGCCGTCGATCACCAGCTGACCGACCTTCTCATGCGCGCAAGGAACAGTTATGAACAGTTTTTCAGCTTGAGCATGCACCATTGCCTTGTCTAGCACAACCAACCGATCCTGAAGACACAAAGAGGAAGGCAAAAAGAGGCGATGCATGCCGGCATGAAACTTGCACATCCTTGTCCGACTGCTTTTTGGATCCCCGTCACACACCACGCACGAGGGCGTGGAAGGTCCTCTGAAGTTTTCAATGGGCGCCCATGCGCCCGAAGGAATGAAACCGGTGACGGTCCCGAAGATCCTGCCACAGTCACTGCTTCTGCCGCAGCCTGCGCAAATTTCTTGTGCCATTAACAAGCTGCCCATGATCTTTCTGAGAGCCGTGCAAGTTTCAAGCACTCTCCAAGCAGCAAGTGCCAGCATACGCTTAAACACGAGAGTTAACACGAGTGACCCTTAAAAAGCAACAAAGACAAGCCATCAAATGGCAGAAGTAAAGAAGAAAAACCAATCAACAAACACCAGCCACGACCCCAAGTAGAAGCAGGCATTCTTTAAATCGCAGCCAAGGCGAGTTGTTTTTCACGTGCCGGATGGAAAACAATAACTGGGAGACAACTCAACTGGGAGACAAGTTTTTCAAGTATGAATGTCAGAGAAGCCCTTTCTTTGTAAATAAAAAAGAACCCCCCAGCTAAAGCTGTATGGGGAACAAATTAAGAACTCCAGCTAAAGCTGTTTAATACAAAAAATGGGAGACTCAATGGGAGACAACAAGTCCCAGACCGGCGTAACAGCATCCAGTTCTGCTCACGTTACAAAGACAAAATAAGAAAAATGGAGACAACAGTCCCGGACGGCATAGCATCCAGCATCGAGACAACTGGGGACAAGTTTTGTTTTGATGGGTATTCTCGTCAACATCAGTAGCAGTCCTGATCCGGAGGCCGAGCTTGCCCCCGTCCTGCGCTCTGAGGGCCGGGCCGCACCCGTTTGGTGTGCTGAAGCATGCGCAGGTCTACAAAGCTCGTCGCGATATTTCTTCCCGCCTGCGGTACATGCACTGCGAAACATCCGTCACCTCCTTGTCGCGGATCTGCACTTGTACCCTCAGCTTAACTCAACACAGTCATCGTGGGCTCCTCTGGACCTGGTCATGCTCAAAACCGGACTTCAAACATCTAACAGCATTTTGTTGATTAATTTATGTTGATTCAACCGTGGGGTTATGGCTTTGTGCCTCCCCCCTCCCCACTCGCACGTTGTGTTTTTGATAACTTCTGGTGCACCAATGTTGCCTTCGTATCGGCTCTGAGCGCAGAATTGCAAAACCAAGCCCGAGAGGTATGAGGCCGAAGCAGCATCTTATCAGCCGACATCAGCTTCCTGCCATCCACTGCGGAATGACAAGGGCTGCAAGCACCAGAGATACAGCAAGATGGCCTGCCTCTCAATGCGCAGTATCTGGCCAAAGGAAGCGCCTTCTGGACGAGCCTTCCGAAGGCGAAGCTCAGCTACAATGTGCTAAGTTGATCTAAATTGTGTGCAGATTCAGGCTATGTCGGCCATGTGATATCGACGCTAGCCTGAGGGCAGCGCAGCTCTGTTCTCAAAGATCCTGACCTAGGACCATCTCCCCTCGAAGCAACGGAAGCAACGGCCACGACGCGCGATTTTGAGCACCACTGCCCACGAAAGCCTTACGGACACTCCATCTGGGTGGTCGTCTCAGATACCCATTGATGGTTCCATTCCAAGCTGCCGCTGAACCCTGGTCACGAAAGGCTGAGAAAATAATCTAAAGAAATGATTCAAATGATGCAATCGCCACGCCTCTACTCCGAGCATCGGCCTCTGTGTTTGCACTGAGGCAACTGTGACCTTTTGGAAGTCCCTCAGATCCAGGCAGTGAGAGCCTCCGCCTCAGCGCTGCAGCAAATGCTCATGCATGAGTCTTGGATGGTTGGGGATGGTTGGGGATGGTTGGGGATGGTTGGGGATGGTTGGGGATGGTTGGGGTGTTTTTTCGACTGCCTTGATGCAATGCCTGTAGTGATCCATCCGAATGCTTGACAACGAATTTGGTGGACATAGTGTGTTACAGGGCCAGACATGGCTACACGATGTACGCAGGCTGTAGCAGGCTGTAGATGGCGGAAGCTTGTTGGATGACCCTTGAGTCTGAGGACCGGCATCCTCCAGCTCTGTCAAAACGCAGAAACATTCTTTGTCGATGGTTTCATTTCCCTTTCGGCCCTCGAGGGTATCGAGACTGTATCGAGACTGTATCGATGTCGAAAGGATGGTCGCAATGGCACTGGTCAGTGCAGCCGAGCAACATCCTCTGGAGCAGGGCTCCAGTCATCGCCAAGACCACCGCATAGCAAGCAATGATACCTGAGAGCAATCAAATTGAGCGAGCATCTGCACCTTTAGCGCAAGAGTGTCTTGAGGCTAACGCTCCCTGGAATGGATCTCGAAAGTCACCCTGTCCGGATTGGCACTCACACCTCGGAGCACTTCCTTGCGTGACCCTCCTATTCTTGCACCGAAGGTCTTTGTTGATCCTTTCGCCAGGGCATGTCATTTATGCAACTTGACACCAACAGTCATGGCTGCGATGCCTCCAGTTCAGCAAAGCTACCAGCGTGCGAACAAAAATTGGTTTCATCATCAGGGGCTTGAACTGTTAAACCCCGCTGAAGCGCGGAAGTCTGAACGCAATGTCTTTCATCTGCTCCGAAGCTAGCGCTAAACCCTGAATCCCTTACCAGTAGAAGGCAGCATGTTAAACTCCGGTGACACATGGTGACATTAAATAGATCATCGAATACATTTTTGATGCCGCAGTACCTCCGTGAGTGGCTACCCGCTGTTTGAACATCCGGACAACTTAGCCGACTTAGCCCTTCTAACGTCATCGAAGAAGTCGGCTGCCTACCCTGGCTTGGTTAACTTATTGGCGTCGGCTTCGACTTTCATGTCTAAATCAGCTCATGGTCCAGGCTTACAGGGGGTTGAAATAGGGTTTCGGCTTGCGAGTTCGGGTTCCAAGTCCACCCCCCCTCCTTTAGTCCCATGGTACACGTCGGCCGTTCACCTTCGGGTGAGAGAAGGGGTCAGCCTTTGGGGGCCTGGCTTTAGCATCTTGAAAGCTTGCGAGATCTCACTTCCTGCACAGGCCCAGGCCACGGGATTTATGGTGTTTGCTCGCTCCGCCTCTTCGTTCCGGGACATGGGAAGCTCAGACTGAGGTGCAGGGTCGTCCTTCCTTCCTTGTCTGATAAAGTCACATCACAAAACACCTGTTGATGCCATTCCCCCAAGAGCACGTGCCGCACGCGCATGCTCTCGGCACACATGCATAGTACGCATTTGTCACCGTCACCGCACGGCTGAGCCTCCCGACAAAACTTTGATGCCAGTCCGCAAATGCACGGGCCAGATGCGCAGGTTCCCGACTCACAAACAAAATAGCACACCTTTTTGTTTTACATTAGGATTTATGGCGGCAACGGGCGGCTGGGTAGCGACCGTCTGTGCGTCTGGCCGGCGCGAGCCGTTGCGAGGGCCGCGCGTCCAAGGGGAGAAGGGCTCCAGTCAAGACTCGTTGAGCCCCAACGAGGGGTTTTCCTCACAGCACCAGCCCTTTGCTCTTGTGGCTTGCGCTAAGCAAGTGGTCGTCGTGGGCTGTTGTTTGCCATGAACTTTACCGTTAAACGCTCTCACAACCGATCAGGCTTGGGGATGCAAGTGCGTTCTGACCAGTCTTGGAAGTCGCGAAGCCATACGACTTAACCTACCTGCCCTGTATTGCCTTCTTCGCTTTGCAAACAGAGACACCGACGAAGCCCAGTCAAGCGTAGGTAGCTTTGCACTCCCAGTGTACTTGCACTTCAGGACCCGGGTTCGGCACGAATCTTGTAAACCTCAGAGCTCTCATCCTGCGTCACAGGTAAGATTTCCCATCTGACCTTCGCCCTCAACAAAGAAGCTATGTTCACATGTCGCTGCGACAAGCTCAGCATGACTCGACGCCTCATCGGCTTCTTCTTCTCGAGCCCAATCCCTGCGTTGACAGCAGTGTATGGCTGCGAGCTTCGACACGTGACTGCTATGTCACAGTCGACAATTGGGCCCTTGCCCATCAAAGCTTTGAGCCTGGAGATTTGCTCTTCATGTCAGAGTATATGTCAGAGGGCTTTATGTCAGTTCCCATGATGAGAATCAAAGTCCCTAGATGCCCCGCCAGCCTGCCTGGAACGATTGCCCCATCACACAGCATTGAGCATGGGGTGCCGGTGCCAGTGGCGCCAGGCTTTGCAAACTCTTCGCTGGGCGAGCGGCAGCAGACAAAGGCCAGACAGACAAAGGACTTGCAGCACACAGATGGCAGTGACAGACCTTCACAAACCGCACTTGTAACTGGCTGCGCAACGAGGTCTAGCTCAGCAGCGGCTGGCAATATGCCACGAAACTCCCGCTGCTCCTAGGCGCCCCGTCGTGCTCTCAGAAGCTATGCCGGCTATGCCTGGAACTCAAGTGCATGCGAATCTTGTGGTTCCAGCGCTCTCTGCACAAGCACATTGACAACTGCGCCGACAAAGTGAGAGTGCGACAAGTACGAGGTCTGTGTTTTTCCTGAGGTGCTGAATTGCAGGACACAAGAGCAAGGAAACTGCCTGACTGCACTTGATGCGTACAACGTGTCCGCACTCTGGGGCGCATGCGTGAGCACCTTACAAGACACACAACGCAAGTCCAAGGGCCGATGCCTTGCTTCAGTGGCCTCCCCGCGCGTGGAGTGATGAGTCCTGCACAACTCACACAATGTGTCTGTTACTGGTGAACGGTGCTGCCAGGGTTATCTCTTTTTTTTTGTTTCTTTCTTGGGGCCTCAGGTCGGGGTCGGCCGGACTGTGACACATACATATCGCCCACTGATGGGCTGGGCATCTCTTTGGAGGGGACTTTAGCCCCGTGTTTCACGCGTAAATCTCCCAACCCCCCTCGCTCTGGCTCTGGCTCTGGCTCTCGCTCTCTGTCGCTTTCTGTCTCGCGCCTGTGTTCCAAGCCTTGGTGGTCGGATCTGTCCATGTGCTTCGTCGTCCACACCTTCACCAAATTTACGGCATTTTACGACCATTCTTCAAACCCATCCAAGCAACTCGAAGTCCGCAACTGTCTTGCGTGCCTTTGCCAGATGCTCCATTGGGACTTCTGCCAAGGACTGTTGGCCCCGCTTCTTCGAGTCATGCAGCCGCTTGTAGGCATCCAGCACGGATACCTGGAGAGCTCGAGAATTTGAGGCTTGGATGAAAGAAAAGCAAGCCCATCGACAAAATATCACGAAATCCCTCCAAAATCAACTATCACTGCGCTGCACTTTTGCCAGATTACCCCAGCTCTGCGGCAAAAAACTTGAAGGGGAAGTGCTCAAACTTCCAGGGCCAACCAACCCGCTGCAAAATTGCAAACTCGGGAAGGGTAGGTTAGGGCAGGTTGCAGCTGCAGGCTTCCTATGTCCCGCTTGGGAAGTTCAGCGTGCAAAATGTTGGCGCACGGCATTGTCCAGCAAGCTGTTGACAGCGTAGAGAGTCGACTCTGCCTTCGAACATTTCGAACTTGTCAGTTTGTCAGCCCGACGTTGTCTATTTGACTGGCTCGATTGATAGCGAACCCAGTACTTTATGGAAGTCTCCAACTCTCCAATCTCTAGGATAGCTAGAACGAAACCATGCCTTCGCCAACGCCATGGTGGAGTGCAGCTCACTGCAAAGATAGGCGGTTTCTCGCAGGGCTTCCGTTGGATCCTGTAGATGCCGAACTGTGTTCGGCTTCTGTCAACCGTGCTGGTGGAACATGTCAAGCTGTGAGTGAGAGTAACATTGAAGAGATGCGCTGTTCATGAATTGTGCAATCCGAGGTTCCCTTTTACTTCACTTCCTATGGGTTGACAGAAAACAAATCGAAGCCTACATTTTGTTTGCGCGATTTCTGTGTTGCTATTTCCATGCGCCGAAGGCGTTATTGTCTGCTATGTTTTGGTCGCGTGTAGTGCTTGCATTTGCTTGGAGAGCGAAGAACGATTAGCTTGCACGCCTGTCTGATCCTGGAGCAGTTGGCTGGAGCGGTGAAGTTCGTGGGAGGTTGAGCTGGCCATGCTTTTACGTAGGTTTGTGGAGTCGTGCATGGTCGGATACACCGGCCATTCTTCCTCACAATCTAATTTAAGTTCTTCGTCTTCAACATCCCGCGCGTCGCTTGTGGAACGACGTGCAAGGATTTTTCAAAAATGGCTTCCAGACATGTTTCTAAGGTGTCATGGTCTTCGGCCATATGGCCACAGAAACTCGAGGCAGATCCTGTTGTGGGCGGCATTTCTTTCTCAAATCGAACGAAGAGGCAGCGGAAGCAGCATGTCGACAATATGGCAGTCCTGGATTGGTTGATTTTCCATGTACCAAGTGGTCCTGCCACAATTTGTGCACTCAGAGCTGCACACAGATCGCAGCCGTGACGCGACGCAAGCATGACAGCATTGTGCATTGTCAACATGTCCTCAGTTCAGGCGTGTCTCGCGTGTACTGTACCTGCGAGCGACGAGGTTCTCCTCTGAAAGGCAGCTGTCCGGAGATGCAGGGACACTGGGCCGAGAGTCTGAATAGTCCTGGCTCAGTGGCTGTTGGGTGCAACAGGTCACCGCGCGAGGCTGTGCTAGAAACCTGTGGTAACGAGCCAATGCAGCAAACCACAGCAAACACAGCTCTCTGCTCCTGTTCTTCGGTGGGGGCAAGTCAACGAATGGCCTTCTCACCTCTCAGGAGTCAGTGACGGCGGGAAGACTTGGACGTGCCGGACATGCCCGCGAACCGTCGCTGACCAAGTACCCAGCATTTCTTTGCTTCAACAAGTGCACGTAAGCTGGAAGGATTCGATATTCCTGGCAGGTTCCGTTCAGGACAACTTCCATAATACTCAGTAACGTCATTGCGGTCCTGCGTTTCTTCCTCGAACTCGGTTCGCAACAAACAGGTCAGTGGAAGACCCCGCACACGCCACCTGGGGCATTGAGCACCCTGACAAGCAGCTAGTAGGCTGACCCGGCACTTGACATGCACTTGACCCCTGCTCTGGCTTGCAATTTGCCAGATCTAAACCCTCGCTAAACAAAAAAGTGGGGAAGTTTAGGAAGGAAAACGATGGAATGAACTGGTGATCAAGGGCCCTTCCTTGCAGATCAAAGCGACCATCACATAAAGCAGTAGACAAATTTCAAAGTGAAAAACTCATCGAACAACATTAAGCCTTTCAATTTGCTGGGTTTCTTGGACTAGTTTTATTGGTGTGCTCGTCCTGGTCTTCCTTTCCACCGATAGAAAATGACTTCGTGCGGTTCCTTGCAAGCCAATTGAGTTTGAAACGAATGAAGAGAACATGCAGACAATCCCATGCAAAGTGTCTGCCATGCGAGATGCCCCCTCCAGCATGACCTCAATCTTCTGCTAAGGCTCAAAGATTTAAGTCCCACTACTACACACTTTAACGCTCACACTCGGACAGACCAGGCGAGGCACAAAGGTACGAAGCCCTGTCTCATATCAACTCTGGGCTGCATTGGCTGCAGTGTTGTGTCGGAAGACTCGACTAATAGCAAGCTCGGGGAAAAACCTCTTCCAGCCCTGTCTTCAAGATCCACCGACAAGATCCACCATCAACCAGCCAAGTACCACCCAAACTGCACATCTTGGCTTCGCGATCTTTCGGGTTTAGGGCTTCGCCCATCTACAAGCTCCCTAGTGGCCCTAGTGCCTAGCGGGCTTAGCGTTGCGGCTGAACAATCGGGGTTTCGTTGTTGTTCTAGCGAAAAAAATCGGAGGGGTCTCGGAGTTGCCGGGCCGAGGAGGTTGCATGCTCTGAGGCGCCCCCGGAAGTGTTGGCCGGTTGTTGACGTGTCCGGCGACATCGTCATCAAGACCCTTCGGGATCTCAGGCCTGTGGCCCGCCTGCGTGAGGGCGTCTCCATGTCTCGTTTCCAGGCAAAGAAGCGCAAGTGCCGTGAACCGTAGGATGCCATGCACATGCAAGCCAGTCTTGCCCGTCCATGACCGCCGCCAAGCAGGGCACCCAAGCGATGTGCACATTAAAGTTAAAGTGCACACGCGCTGCGAAGGAGTCAGGTCACCAATATTCGCCAATGCGGTCCACCTTGCTCATAGCATGCAGCATTAGGATTCATCAGTGATTCATCTCTCCCCGATCCATGGCCAGATGCCGCGCTGTCGAATTCTTATTCGAGGTCTGCCACCATATTTAGTATCCAGCCATCTTAGCTCCCTCTCGCGGCAGCTTTCGCGTGCCAGTACGCCCAACGCCGAAGACCCACGACCGCTGCGGCCGCTGCGCTCCATTTGCCGCCGCTCCGCTATTCATTTCCAAAACCCGGCCGGCCCCTACTCCAAACGACACCAGAATCTGGTCACCAGAACAACGCACAACCCCAACGGCTTGCACCCCGATGGCCGATGACGACCTCGCCCGAAATCCACAAGGCCTGACCGCAATTGATCGCGCACAGCTGCAGGATGCTGGAGGGTGTACTGAAATCTGCGGCACAGAGGCCGGAATTACTTGCAAGGATCTGGGCGAGCCCTTTCGGGATGGATTCGTTTTTGACAAGATGTCGCATGTGTACTGAGCGGTTCCAATCTCTAGAGAGGCGTCTTGCATTGCGGAAAAACTCCACAAGCTCCGGCAACTACTGGGGCACGTGCTCGCTGACATCCTTCCTCAGTCTCCCAGAGTCGTCAGCAAAGGTGGTGTACGGTCAGCTTCGTGGCTTCGAGCAGACTCCCTCATGTTTGCCGGAAGCCATGGTATCCCAAAACGCAGGAATAATCAAGACAATTACTCGGTACAGTATGTACTTACAATGTTTTCCGAACTTCCGAAGGCCCCCAGCCACTCCCAAGGCGGCCCCCCCCAACCACAGCAGTTGATGCTCATGATGCGCGCCGTGCGCGGACCTAGCCCAATCTTAGCTACCTGCGCGTCGCGCAAACTTGTCTTGGATTCCAACATGGGTCTCCAGACCCCCCCCCCCCCCGGTTTTCATCCCAGATCGAGTGAAGGTACCCAGTGGGTTGGTTGTGGGCGCTGGTCGATGCCCTTCGATGGTTCGTTGGAAGCTGACCGTGACAAATCGGAACTTTGGGCTCTTTTCTCCCCATCTCCCCAGGTCCATCATGCACGTCCAGGGATCATCGAGCCACGGATGTCAGAATCGCAGTATTTTGCTTGCACGACCTGGTTCCCCGAAGAATGAGCGCAGAGGCAACAGACGTCGATGATGCTCACTTCACACAGAAACTTGCACAATGGGCAGCTGTGGGCGACGGCCCAGTTTTGAATGAAAGTAAAGGGGACAAAACTCCAACAACACCATGCGGTTCCAGGTTCAGGGATTAAGGCGCCGGCTCCAAATGCGAGACGTGAACAAGTTGGCCCGTTTTCTCCAAGTTGACCATGATTCCCTGGCAAGCCACGGCGCACGACCACAAGCACAACACGAAAAACATGGAAACCACCGTCGCTCCCTAACGATCCACCTTCCCTCCTGCTTCCGGCAGCGTGCGAAAGCAGGCCCATGCAGAGTAGATGCCGATTACTACGTTGCCGTAGGATGGGTGCAGATGCTGATCCCCCTTTACAAACAGAATGGCTGGCTAACTGTTTAACATGGGCCGGGTGGGCAGCGGACCAGCCGAGGGTATACGCCAAATCCTGCAGTCAACAACTGCCTTGAATGCACCTTTCGACTCATGAAGTCACATGCAGCATTTTGTCGCGTGCCACATGAATCTCCGACACAAGGTACCATACTCTTTATGTCTATTCATATATATATATAAGTAATATTTATATATGTATACAACAAGTAAATAAATATGCATATATATATATACATACATATCAAGTCTTGCTATCTGGGGGGGTCTCCATGCACGTCACGAAACATTTCTCCTGCGTACCGTCCAAATTATCTAGCTAGTCTACCTCGGACCCTTAAGGTTGCACCCTTGGGTTTTGGTGACACTTTTTAACGTCCACAAGGTAGTATAGGGGCCATATTAGGGGCATTTTTGAGGGGAACCTTCAGGGGTACAACCTTAGGGGTCCGACTTTGAATCCCTTCAAATTAACAAGCGCAAAGCCCTAAGGCAGTAGATAGCCTTCCTCTGCATGCTACCTCCACACATGAACACTTCTCCGTCGTACCGTTCGTATGTAAAAAAAATCAAAGAATGGTGGGGGCAGCATATATGTGTTGAATAACATAACATACCATGACGTGGCGTAATACAATATACGATCATATAGTCTAATATATAGTGAAGGAATATGTACGTATACAAATATTATATACGTACATTCATATATGTATATCTGTATATGCATATAATACATATATATACATGTATATGTGTATATTCCTGACTATTTATTTATACTTCTCTGTTTCTATCTATTTACATACATGTACAACACTATACATCCCAGTGCGATGTTGAGGCGGCGACGCAATCGAAATTTGTTGGCATGGCAGATCTTGCCTGGCAGTTCACATTGCCAGACAGTGGCAAATGTGGTCGCTCGTCCTCAAGATCCGCTTCCGCTTGGCAAATGCAGCGACGGGATTGCAGGCAACAGTACATCAGAAAACCCGTGGTGGTTCACAAGCTGCTTCTGCAGCTGCTAAGAGTGTTGGAACGTGTTGGAGATTTACTGCATGTTCTACTTAGATGTAGAGATTCGGTCAGGCTCTGGGCGCCCTTGCCAAAAGTCACTGAACTCTTGCGCCTGGTAAGCCATCGGATAGCACATGCCATTGAAGAAATCCTGCGAAGAATCACTGCAGCCAATCGGGACACAGGCTCTTCAGGCTTGCTGCTTGTGTCCCTGCTGCCCTGCGTTTTATGATGGTATGTTTGAGTTTGGCGAAAGCGGCGAAAGTGCATTTAGGTCAAGCAACTCAGCAACTCTTTCATGTTCGCGATCACACTCCACCAAATGGTTCTACTAGGACCAGGACTGACAGGACGCACGATTCATGCGTAGAATTGTCACATGGTGGTTTCGGTGCTTGCAGGCCAGCCCACAAACTGCCCACAAAGCACCTCCAGGCATTAGCAGGTCGAAGTGATGCACTTCGACGTGGAACATCATTGAACATCAGAACAGCATTGAACACCCATCCATCCACATTAACTCATCGGCAACATGCTATGCCAGCATTCCCTCAGTGACTTCGTCAGCGGAGACCTCCCGAGCAGTGTAGGCAACTCACCCCCACATGTCGTGGAATCTGCAGCGTTGCAGCCTGCAACAGACAACCAGCCAATTTGAGGCCTGGCGAATTTCGCCCGTGGGCCCTATCAGGTAAATCCGATCTGCAAGCTGCAGGCCATATCTTTTCGAACCTGAGAATCACGAATCGTGAATTGGCTGACTGATGCCTCTTGCATGCTCTGCTATGCCTGGCGCGTGCCATCTTGAGTCCGGCGCTGGTAAAGAGGCACGTGCGTGGCGACCTGCCCAAGTCATTAATAAATGGACGGCTGCATGACTTGCTCGCTTTGCCTCACTCTCTCTTGTCTTCCTCACTCTGAAGATCAGCACCAGACACTCCGACCGGACACGGGGGCGCGCCTGGTCGTTGGATCACTTGGATAGCCGAGGCCGCGGTTGGCGACGTGGCTTCTGATCACCTCCAGCACCATGTGCGAGGTTCGGTCCTCAGTGTAGATCAGCAATTACAAGAATATTGCGTTCAAGCATGCGCTGGTTCCAGACCTCTCTCTCTGTGGAAGAAAGTCCGGGGCGTCATATGGCATCCCGGGCTTATGCAGCACCAAAACGTCTGGATTGGCCTGCGCACGGATTCCTTCACAATGCTTTGCAATGCCAGACTGCTAGACTCCTGCTAAGGCCTCCCTGTCCGCAGTTCCACCCACACTCAAGCTGCTGTCTGAGGGCGCAGCCACCAAGGCTCTCGCCAGGCCAAGCTTAGCTTGTTGCGTGTGCGACAGGACCTCGCCAATCTGCGCCCTCCCTAAAGAACCTTGCACTACCGGCCAAAGTAAGACATGCAACGTGGGCTGGTCACCGTCTTTGTTGTAACCTACAGATCTATCGCCGTGGACGTAGAGACAACCCTGCTGATCTTCGATCTGTTCTTAACTCGTCGAGGCCTCTGGCCATCCGCCGCCCAATTCCGTCCCATCCCTTCCTTGTACGGAAGCCGGATGGAAGTCCACTTGTTGCAGGGTTTGGCCAGGTCTCTTTTTAATCCGAGCAATGCAACTGCCGGAGACGGGAGTGTCATCGCACCATCGCTCCACGACAGTACCACATCACATGAACACGTCTGGCCTTTGAAAACTGAAAACTGTTGGACGATCAATGCCTGAAAAAACCAAGAGACGGCTCCAGGCTGCCACAGAAAAAACAAACAAAACCCCGCAGCAAATCATAGTTTCCCAACTCTCGCAGGCTTGGGAGATACGACGCAAGTGAACACACGTATAGCGTCTCCAAGTCATAAGACTCTTGGTCGTTGCATGGGCAAGGCATGGTTGAGACATCATGATACCACAAAAAAAGCTCCGAGCTCTGGCTTGTTTGGGTAGAGCCAGGTACAGCCAGAGGAGCCGGGGGGGGAAGAGTGTAAGCCACCTTCTTCACGCACTGCATCGCAGAACTCGCTGAAGAATGTCCCTTGTCCTATTTCGGTACGCAAGTGTCAGACGGACTTCCATACCTTGCAAAAAAACTTCCGGTGTGGGGCGGTTTCTCAAAGCTGCACTTTGCTCAGCGACTACGCACAACGCCAGCCCAGAACTGAGGTGCAAGGTGTTACAACATGGTCCGCAGTCAGCTTGTCTCCAAGATCGGCGTTGCCAGTGAAAACAGCGTTGTACCGTAGAGAGGTGTCAGTGACAGTCGCTTCACTTTCTGACCATGACTCACGCCTGTTCGCCCACTCCAGGACCCATTTCTCTCAGCTTCAAGAACAGGACTCCGGTCCCATCATCACCAGGGTGCGCAGTGATAACATTTCGGTACTTACAACAGGTCAATGATCCGTGCCTCGTGTACCGGTAACAGACCACCATCCAACCCGAACATGAGCGAGGCGAATGAAGTTGGCACACGTCTCCCGTTCTGCTGACAATCTAGAAGTAAGCTATCTCATCACGATTCCAAGATTCCTTTGCAGCACGCTGCACTTCGGTGCTAGGTGTCGGTAAGAAGGAAGCAAAAGAATCGAATGAAGCTCGAGAGTTTACTCTTCTGGGACTTCATGAGACTTGCTGCCTAAATCTGCATGATCCACATATGTCTTGTTGCATCCTGCCTGGTCCCAGCACAGCTTGTCCGGTAAGTCCAGCAAACTCAGGATCTCCTTTTCCGACGGCAGCTTCTGCCACTTACTAGAGAGCCGAGCGTATGTGCGTAAAAGCCACATTTGATACGACCTCGACTACAGCGTACCCACCACTTGGAGCGTGTTTGGCTTCGGGGGGCATCCGACTATAGGCGGGAGGCCGGGACCGCATGAAATCATTACCAATCGATCTGTTGGAATATGCAAACTAGTCATCAAGCAAACTGTGTGCATGGGCTGCACTGCGGCAGCACGCAATACGTCAGGGATCATTAAGCCTCATTAGGGTAGCGTTTCTTAGCAAAGCGAAAATAAATAGAACACCATCGAGCAACTCCGGCTGGACTTGGAAGAGCCCGGAGCACATGGACTACTCCGCTGACTTGTACAAAAAAAACTTGTCATGCCCAACATTGCTAACACCTGCACGGATTGTCGGGGTTGCAGTCGTGATGTCACTGTGATGTTCTTGAATCGAGGTTGTCCCTGAGGTCCTGTGGGAGGGCAAGCAGCCGGCAAACATGTCGAACCTGAGTGTGACCAAAAGCCATGCGAAACGTTGGCATATCATGGGACCGCATGTAGCAACTCTCCATGGTTTGGGTCCGCAGCACGCTCCCTGTCAGCATCCCGGAACTCCGCACCTTCTAAGATGCTTCAACAGCAGCAGCAACACACAACACACAAGCCCAGCATAGCCCAGCAACCTGGCCAAGGCCACCAACTTGGCCACAAACACGATTCCGGGTTTAGGGGCCTCCGTCGTCAACCCCGAAAACGAGGTTGTCGTAGAGCGTGCCGTGAAACAGACCAGGCTCCGTTCCAACATGTAGGACCTTGCGCCACGGCTGCAATTTCCAAGACTCCAGGATTTCCTGCTGGATCGTTGATGAACAGATGGGCGCGTGACACGGAGATGAGGAGGCACGAAGAAGCCAGGCAGGTTGCCTTGCACAGCACAGAAGTGCAGGTCGGCTGATAATTGAACAGACCGCGAGATGAATTGGATGAGCAGATAATGTGAATGAAAAATCATGGATGGATAGGTGGACAGGCAGATCGAAGGATCTGCACATGGAGAACACAAGGAGATGCACAAGGAGCATCGAACAGTTCCTGTGCAGCCAAATCGCAGTCACCAGGCAGGAGCTCACCGCCAAACATTTTGAGAATGGAGGACTTCCCATGACCGTGTAGGCCCACCAGCGCTATGAACCTCAGAGGTACTATTGTAGCTTGAATTTGCTGGACTGCACTCCACAGCACAGGTTTCCTTCTGTCTCAGTGTTGCCTAGACCTGGCAGCAGGCGAGACCAGCTGTGCAGTACATCTCAGACCTTTGCTCCCCCTGGTTCACGACAAGATCACCGTACAGTTGAAGATCCACCTCGACACACACACACACACAAAACAGACACTGGCGCGTGGGTCTAGTCATATCTAATGTCTGGTCAAGTCCACCTTCCGGATGAAAAACTCGCCCTGCTGCGACTTCACGGTAAATTCGATCCGTGGCCCCTTCCATGCAAGCATATGCAAGCTCTTGTCGCACTGAGCAACCCCCAAAACATTGGAGATCGCACGACCGCATGGCCTTCAGGAAAAGGGGAAGGTCATCCAGATTCAACACCTGCTTGTCACTCACATCCCGCACACTTCGCAAGGTGGTCGAGGTTGTGATGAGGTGCCTTGCAGGTGCGCCCGCTGCTACAGTATACGGGGGTCAAAGTTCTTTGTCTGTTCTTGGAAGTCTGAAGAAGAACGGCATTAAATTTTGGGGAGGCGACTTCTTGTTAAGTTGTTGAAAGTCTGCCTCAAATTGGAAAGCCGCAACCTTGAGGCCGGTTAAACATGGAGCTGGAATTTATTGAAATATACTATTCTATACTATTGCTTGCAGCAAGTAGTCAAGACATTGCCTGAAGTCTGTGCAGGCCGCAAGGTACGAACATGTACGAACCTGCCCTGCGGGATTGCATGCCCTGGTCCTTGTTCAATCGTTCTGCTGCCATCAGCTGCCCCCGCCAAAGTCTCTGCGGCACTTGCCCCTTGTCCCTCCTACACCGGCTGCTGCCCGTCGCCTCTGAAAACCAAGCCCGTACGCTCATAATACAAATGATAGTTCGTCTGCAAGGCACGGGGTGGTGGAAGCTGTGGACGGGGGCATTTTTCACATTCCAAAGTCCAAAAAGCCTCCTGCAAAATGATCCTTAGACTTGCTTTGCTTCGAGGGCCGTTTATGGCCGACGTATCAGCAGCTAATCGGGCGGCTGCTGGACACGTTGCTTCGTAAGGCTTACCTGCTGTGTCTGAGGGCTTGGCGCTTACGGCATGGGCTTAGCAGAGGGCGGGGAAGGGGGGGGGAGCAACACGTCAAAGCATAATTTCATGTCAGCTGTTTCAATCTGAAAGAACATCACAACAAGGACCATTTCTTGACGAACTATTTTGT